TACATTGAAGATGTGGAGGAGAAAGAAACAGGCACAAATGATGAAAGAGAAGACAAACAAGTGGGAACATGGAGGTGAAAATGTTAAGCAAGTTTCCTTCACTACTGCTGCTGCACCAATCGGTTGGAAGAACTTCAGGGGTGAGGCTGCTTTGCCCTGCCTGGCGTGATTGATACTGTTTGCAGATCAACACAGTTTCAGGCTTTAAAACAAAACACAACAAAAGCATTCCATCCACGAGTACCTTTTCTCCAATAGCTGCTTCTAACCTTTGGCAAGGCACATGTACAAACGGTTCCTGAACTGAATACACAAATCCAAGAACATAACTGAGGCAATAACTAATTTCAGGGAACTTAACAGTTCTGTTTAGATACACGAAATAGCTCTAGTGTTTGTAGACCGCTGTGGCTTTGCCTCTCACCTGACCCTTGTTGTGGACTCTGCTTGCTTGGTCTCTGACTTTGGACTGGATTCTGCTTTGGTTGCTGCCTGTTTTCTCAGGAGCCCAGTAAGAATAGGATAGTTCCTGCCACAATGGACTCACTGCAGACTCAAGTAAACCCTCTTGGGGCCAGTGACTAACCCCCACCTACGCTACCAAGATGTAAGTGGCCTGGGAAGAGGGCCTGATTGCTAAACCACACTGAGAATTGTAGCTCTGTGAATTGGAGCCTCCTAACAACTCTCAGCAAGTTTCTGGGATTCTTTATAGGAAGCCATGGCTATTTAAAGTGGCATGATAATGCTCTAAATGTACAAGGTGGATGGGAACAGAGTTTCATTATTTAGCACAGGGTTCTTCATCTCCAAAGCAGGACTGGGAAGGCACAATTTTCAGAGCAGAAGTAGAAGTTGGAAGGAAGGCACTTAATGCTTCTCTTATGGGGAACATACAGCCCTTCAGATGGATTACAACTCCAATCATCCCTGACCATTGTCCGTGCGGAGGATGATGGAAGTTGGGGTCCTAGAATGTCTGGAGGGTCCTAGGTTGCTCATCCCTGTCTTATGTGCTGCCTTCTACCTTCAATTTCTCCCTCATCTGCTTCTCTTTTCTCCAGCCCAGAAGTGTGTTTCCATCCAAAACATTCATTTGGAACTGAACTAGGAGAACAGCTGTTGAGAGTTGGGGCCACAGAAGGCAATTGGTGGTGATGGTGGTGAAGCTTAACTGCTCTCCCTACACTGCAGACTTTGAAGACATGCAGCAAAGCTGATGGTATAATTTCCACCCACATTCTCAGGTTTCCGTGACTGTTTTCTGCTCATCTTGTGGCCCCTGTTGATGTACTTGATTGCAGTAGGTTGTTCCTCACTGATGAACTTTGTACTCAAGGATGGGGGAAGGTATGGTAATTGTGATGGAGCTCCGATTCAGCGATGATTGGTCCTTGTCTCAGAAATATTCTGGGAAACATAATTACAATTTTTGCAATAAAAAAAAAAAGGAAATACATTCCTACAAAATTACAAGGAAGGCATTTCTTGGCAACAAATTAGCAGTAGTGTTAATCAGGACCAGCTGGTTTGTTGGCTTCCATTAAAAAAGCACCATATAAAAAGGTTGTTATTGCTTAAGGACCACAATCACTTCCAATAAAATGAAATGGACACACCCTTCTAAATGAAGAGATTCAGACTGTAATGCAGTTGTCTTGTTCACTTACCAAAATGATGGCATTGCCCTACATTGGTTAAAGAAGTCATGAACATTTCTGGCGTGGTGCTTTTGGAGAATAAAAGACAGATCATTGCCTGAAGGTTTCCGAGTATACTATTTTGCTTGGAATCAGCTTGCAAAATCTCACTATGATTTTCTAAAATTGTAGGAAAACAAAATGTCACAAAGTAAATTAATACAACAGCACCCTCCCCGCTTGTGGTCACCTACAATACTATACAGATATTCCCTCCAACATTTCTCCAGCAAAAATAGGGATGTCCCATTCCATGGTGATTTTTACTATTTATACCCCACACATCTTACTGGGTTGCCCCAGCCACTCTGGGCAGCTTCTAACATATATAAAAACACAATAAAACATTAAACATTTAGAAAAACCTTCCCTATACAGGATTGCCTTCATACACCTTGAGGGGGGGGTGTCGCATAATTCCATACCCTCCAACATTTCTCCAATGCCTAAGGAAAATTGGGACATTCTGGGATCAAATCAAAAAACGGGATGGCTTCTCTAAATCAGGGACGTCCCTGGAAAATAGGGACACTTGGAGGGTCTGCACAGATATCTTGGCTAGTAGCAGATGTTGATAGCCTTCTCAAGAGGCCATCTGCAAGTGCCTATTGTAAGCTTAAAATTCAACAGGGCTTGGGGTATCAGGTCAGTCACCCAAGCACAGACCCTCAGATTTAGGGAGAATAGCCTGGGAGGGACTAGGGACTAGATTTAGGGAGAAGAGTCTGGGAGAGATTTTAGAAATTTCCCTATGAATTTAGTAGGTAGGTACATACCTAGGCTAGATATAATGAAGATGGAAAGGGATTTATGAATAACCATGACCTTTGTGAGATGGAGGGAAAGGATCTGAACTTCCAGAGAAGGAGTAACCTGAGAAGAAGAAGCAGATCCCTCTGAGCAGGAAGTGGGATGGTGGTGGAAGAGATTTTATCTGCCCATAGGTTTGTGTGACCTCCTTTAGATAAGAGTATGAAAATCTGTGTAGTTATGCCTTATTCTTCTAGCCACACTTCCTGGCAAATGAACAATATTATTTGTTTATTTCTAGAAGGAAAGCAGGAAGGAAGGAAAATGAATGGTGACTTTGTGCCCCACATAACAGAGGACAGTGCTCTATTTGAAGGGCTGACTGGTCCAAGTCCAGTTTAAAGATAAAGAACTGAAGGAAGGGAAAGTAGGGCCCTGAGGATGCCCACCAACAACTAGCACACAAATCACCAGGCCATAGCCTTTCACACTTTGGTGAATGTGTTGTATATCATGACATATCTTTACGCACCAGGCAAAAACATTCTCCTCCTCTCAGACCTTTGGCTAATTAAGCAATCTATGTTTGTGTGTAGGGGGTTATTGTTTTAATTTGTTATTGTGGTTTGTATATTTTTGTGTTTTTATATTGTAAACCGCCCTGTGATCTTCAGCTGAAGGGTGGTATTGAAATTTAATAAATAACAATAACAACTATGATAATAAGAATCATAATGCCACACATGCCCTTGTAGCAAAAAGCCCTAGATAGCGGTACTTTATTTGTCATGGTGGTGCTGGCAAAACTGAGTAACCGTGAACAGTTATTTGTCTCTCCTTACCCTCCTTCTCCAGGCACCGTTGGTCGGATAAGCAGTTCACAGTTCTGTCTTTAGACCTCTTCTGTCTCTCTGCTCTCAGTTCAGGCAGCAGCGTTCTCTCCTCTCTGGCAACCTTGACCGGGCAGCTGATAAGGAGGGAGGGAGCAGGCTGGGACAAGCTGAAGCTCGCAGAGCCGACAGGAATTATAAAAATGTTCAGAGTCTTTAAAATGTTTTCCGTTTGTTAAAAATTGGCATCCGGAGGGCAATTAAGATAAGGTTTTTTAAAAATAAAAGTGAGCGCCGGAGAGCGTGACTTGCCTCGGCCGTGAACAGAGCAATATAGCAGTGCTGCTGCAATGCCTTGAAAAAGCACCACAAATAAGTTTAAGCTGATTGTGTGGAGAAATCCCCAAGCGCGTTTGCTGAATGCAGATATGTACATTTGCAAATATATACATTATATATATTTCTTTTGCAATCATCTACTATACAACTGAAAAGGCAAGGCTCTTCGTTGGTCTGCCCTTTTCTGCACTATATTTAGCACAGAGATCACAGGGACCAACAGTTCCTAACACAGGAAATGCATACTTCTTGACAGTCAGCATCAAGAAATTTATAAAGTATGAGTTTTATTTATAGTTCATAGATTTTCTACAGTCATAGTCAACATTTTTTTTTACCGTTGGTTTATATTTTGTTTCGATATATTAAAAACCTTTGCCAATTAAAAGGGAAAAAGAAAAGAAAATCCTTGCCAACACTCAGAGTACAAAATGCTGGAAGTTAAGTGTGCTTGACTCCTACTAGTCAATGCAACCTTCAAAATGGTCTTAGAGATGATTGAACTGGGTCATCCATTTGGCCTGGTTTGCACAGGAAAACAAGCCTGTTTGCCTTAAACCATTCTTTAATCATGAATGTGCTTGCTTCCTTCCATGCTGTTCCCCTTGCCATTCCCCCCGCACCCAAATAAGCCATAGTACAGCTTTCATCATCTGAACCTGGATCGTGATTTTCTTGGTTCAAATAAACCATGAGCCATAAAACAGAAAAATACAAAGAAGGAATAGAAGCAGGGCAGGGGCATTCTTAATTAAACCATGGTTGAAGACAACCTGTGGCCTATCATGATGAATGAACAAGACCATTGTGTGGGGATAGTTCTGAAAGGCACTTACCTGGGTGCATGCTTTATATAAGGGACATCCTGTTTAAAAGGTTCTTAGCCTGTGTGGTGACTAAGTTTGGAGCATTTGCACAGGAACATGGCTGCCATCTGGGCCACAGAATACTGGCATATAAATGCTGCATATGTATGTCTTACAACTCAGTTAAATGTAATGCCTGGTGTTTGGAGTACCTGCACAGGTAGAACCTTTTGAGTGGCCTCCTGAAGGTGGCACCGTATGCAAATCAGACCTCAAAGAGATGTACATGTGCTAAATATTAAGTACATTTGACTGGGCACTGGAAACAGGCACTCTTGCTTGGCTCCCAGGCCTAAATAACAAAGTTAAGAAAAACTGTGTTTTCATTGTCTCCCTTCTGTTTCCACAGCACATTTGCTAGCACTTTCCCAATATATTATTAAGTTAAATAAATGCCCCCAATAGATTGCTGCGATAAGTGCTGCATGAATTTTAAAACAGTCTGTTTGCTAACTCTCTCATTGACAATGGATTGGAAAGCAAATGTTTTTTTATCTGCCAGTTGGATTCTTGAGCTAATTGTCGCTGTTTGGTTTGCAGTGCGATTGGTTAAGTGCTTCCGCAAGGCTGGGTTCCTTCTGGCTTGGAATGGCAGGCAGGACTCGGCTTGTTCGGAGAGGCTCTGCTGACAGCACTGGTAAGAAAGAGTACAGCAAATTACTCTGAGAGAGTCCTGCTTTGGGGGATTTTGTGGTAAGTGCTGGTGGGAGAACAGAGGCGCCAGTCCGTAAGGAGTTTAAAGACAATGACTTTGTCTCCTTGACACCCTGAGAAGCTTGGCTGGGTGGTAGCTGGGCTGGAAGAAAGCAAAGAGGGAAAAGTGAGAGAACAAACCAAGAGATAATGCAGCTTGTCAGGTGTATATTTTTTAGTGCACTCTAGTGGGCTATGCTGCAGGCAATATGTATGTATGACTCGCTCATAACTGCTTTAAGATGCACCATCGTAATACTGGCATTCTGCTTCTCTGTCTAACTGTTGTACTATGCACACTTAACACGTCAACTGTTCTTGCTTTCCATGGGCAGACTGGGTACTTGCCTCTTGCAAACCACTAAGGCAACCTCACCCCTAATTATGCATATATGCTAATTAGGTCTGAACTGGTTGTGATGAAGAAGCAGACCCTGGAGTTGTACTGGACAGCTTGATGAAGATATCAACTCAGTACGTGGATTTTGAATTGAGATCATGATATGTGGAGGTGTAGGTGTGTCTGACATCCCCTTATAATTCTCTATCTGTAGTCTCACTTAGAATGTCACAACAAAACTGAATTCATCCCTGTTCTGTGATGGCTCCCTGTTTGTGGAATGCTCTCCCTAGGGAGCTTCTCCTGGAGCCTTCATTACACATCTTTAGGCACCAGGCAAAAGCGTTTCTCTATAGCCAGGCCTTTGAATGATTGAACAATCCATGGCCTTTTAAATGTGCTTGTGAGATCAGGCGTGAGGGGCTTGGTTTGCTTTAGTTTGTTTGTTTTGTTATGTATTTTGTGTTTGTATTTTGTAAATTGATGTTGTGAACTGCCTGTGATTTTCGGGTGATACAAATTTAAATACAAATTTAATAAATACCATAAACTTAAAACCTTATTTCCTTAAACTTCTTCTAATATCCCAATTATGTTTTACGAGTACTCCATTGGCTGCTGCTGTTGTTCAGTCTATACATTAATTGTTTTGCAATGGATATCCTTTTTTAAAAAACAACAACAACAAAACCAATATTACAAATATTTGGCCAGCTTTATTTTGATATAGCTAATAACAGAGATAAAATTATTCTTGCTTCCAAGGCTCTTCATTTTCTCCAACCAAATGCACAGCAGCCAATAATGAACACTTTATTTGCTGAGTGTGGCAATTACTGAGAGATTACGTGACTTCTGCCTATAGTTACATAAGCAAGTTTCCTTTACCGGGGAGTGAAAGGCATTTGAGTTTGGTTTATTTTCTGCTTCTTTGCAAAACAAATCCCTCCACTCACACCAGAAGTCAGAGCCAAATTAGACATGACACTAATAATTGCATGCAATTAACTGTATGTAAATAGTTGCAACAGGGAAAGTCTGAGGAGCTTCAGGAATATGGCAAGCGGAGAAGGAAAGTAAAGGAAAGTTTAATTCTCTCTGTCTCTGTTACTCTCCTTATAACATTAAAACCAAAATGCTCAGTCTGAAGCGGCTATCCACATTTCAAGGGATGCTGCCTTTGGTGCTAAAGGTACTAAATATCCCAAAAGCAAATAGCAGCTTTGGAGGGGAGATATATTTATTTGTGTTCAAGGCCTTCCTCCAAAGCAGGGGTGCACAGCCTGTGGCCCTCCAGATGTTGTTGGACATACTTCTCATCATTCCTGATCACTGGCTATGTTGGCTGGGGCTGATGGGAACTGTAGTCCAGAAAAATCGGAAGGACTGCAGGTTATGCACCCCTGCTCAAAAGGAAACCAAGGTAGCAAGCATGTCAGTACTAATACAATTAAAGCTTATCAAAAACAGTTCAGAACAACTTTCTAAACATTCATTTCAGCAATGCCAGAGGCAGAATTTTTAGTCATCAAAAGCCTGGATAAGCAGGAATGTTTTAAAACTTCTAAAAGTTTATCAGAGAGACTGACACACCTTACTAGAGAGGGTGTTCTTCAAACACAGCCTTCCTCAAACTCAGCGGTCCAGATGTTTTGAGACTATAATTCCCATCATCCCTGACCACTACTCCTGCTAGCTAGGGATCATGGGACTTGTAGGCCAAAAACATCTGGAGGGCTGAGTTTGAAGAAGTCTGTATGACCGCCACCAAGAAGGCCCTGCCATGGGCCAACTAGACAGCCCCCAGGTCTCCCTTACTGATCAAAGAGCCTGAGATGGTGTTGTCAGGATTGGGACCATGGTAACACTTCATATCTCAGTTTCAGAGCTACTTGGGCTTCCCCATAACTGGCCCTCAAAGTCTATGGCCCATGTGCTGGTGGTAGACAGCAAGGTGTTATTGAAAACTAGGTGTCTGGTGTATAACATCTTTAAATGATGTGTTTGTGTTGTTATTACTGTTGAACAAGCCAAATCCCATCATTCTCTGGATTTCATTGTCCTATTGCTTTGTGGGATCCAAACAATGAGAGCCATTCCCTCCAAGACTACTGAGTAGATTTTATCCTCACTATAGCATTTTCCAAAAGTGCAGCTGTTTGCTGCTCCTCACTTTTCAACAAGAACTTATTATCACAGGTTTTCATACAAATAATGATATGTGGAAATATCATTTCCTGAAACATTTAGACATCATTATTCTCTTTTTATGCCAATTCTACTTGTTACAAACACTGAATAACATACTTCTCTTTTGCAGTTCTATTTTTAAGTGGTTCCTCTTTACTTTTTACACCCATTCTATTTTGTTTTTCTTTAATTTTTACCATTAAAAAGTTCAGGTTTTAAAGTTTTCTCCTAAGCTATACAGCTTTCCACCCCTTCTCTTTTCGATTTTTTAAAAAACCACTATGTCTTTTTGTGGAGTTTACTTCTTATTATAATATACATTTAAACCTGAATTCAACTTAATTCAAATTCTCTCTGTCTTGGCAGGAACCCTTTCTCCATAGTAGGAAATGGCTAGAAATTTTATCTTGATGTGCCTTTACTAATTAACATCGTGCTTAATTTAAAAGGTTCTCAGCTCCTCTAATCAACTAATCAAAATGCAAGTCACACATGACTGTTGATAGCATTGGCTCTTATCGGGATGTGGTTTCAGACTGACTGTTTTTATATTATGTTGCTCTGACAGCTAGTATTGCCTATTTTTCCAGATCACAGTATAGTTACCCATTATAGCTTCAAAATGTGATTCCTGTTTGTACAACAGAATAATTATTAACTTGGGAAACTTTTTTTAAAAACACCAGAAAAGCCATGCAAACACTGTGCTCCAAATAGAGTGCTTCTGCTAGGCAATTGATATTTTGCCTCACCACTTGCTACTGTAAACCACTGAAGCAACATGCTGACTACTGGGGGAAATTGAGTTTGTGGTAAACTACTGGAGAAATCACTTTCTTTGCAGGAGTTTTAAGTGATTCAGAAAAAAACACCAACGTTTGTTTTGAACATTTTCCACCCAGGCTTTCAACATTACAAGGTCTATACTGTACTACAATATAGTATAGCCTGCTATTCCTACACTGCAACAGGAATTTATTGGTGCACAGTACTGGCTCTGATAGTAAGAAATAAAGAATAGGATAAGCAATGGTCACAACCTAATGCAGTTCTGGGAAACCTTTGGCCCTCCAGCTGTTGCTGAAATACAGCTCCCATCGTGATGGAAAAGTTTGTTTTTGCTGGGCAGGTTGGTTCACCAAGTGTTTTCTTTTTCTTTTTCCCTGCCAGCAAATGGTTAATGAACGGCAGCTTATGATTGGCCGGGGTTCCAGGAGGGGGAGTTGAAAAGGAGAGGATTTGGAGAAACAGTTTTTGGCTGGGATAGAGGTTGGGAGAATAGGTTGGGAGATAGGGAGTGAGAGGAGAGAGAGTTGGTTCTGGGTACTGTAGAAACATCCACACTGAGGAATATATCAAAAGCTAGAGAAAGGAGTCTCTGAGCTTAGTGTGAAGGACAGTGTGTGGTGTCCTGTGAGAGTAATAGGCCAGGAATTAACTGGGAGGCTGAGGCTGAGCCAGGAGAAGTAGAAGCTGTGAGGATACAGTCTACTTAGGACTCATTCCAGTCAGGAGGGGATAGATTCTCCCAAACCAGTTAAGAGGGGTGTGGTGATCCCTTGGGTCTGTTACTTGGAGTACCTCAGGAGTAGGGTTGTAAAAGGGGTGTGTAACTGACAGGAAGTACCACCTTGTTTAAGAACCAATGTATTAAGAGGCAACAACTGTGCAACAACTGAGGAAGAACTGAAGTGAAATAACAGTATAATCTGAAGTATCCTATGTTTTACCCACATTGTGTCATAAACTTCCTTTGTTTAATAAAATCTTTCTTGTTTATTTGATCAAATCCTGCCTGAGACTCCAAATTATTAAGTTTTTCCTCACACAAGTCCCCCATAGGATAATCTGGGGTAGTTTGTAGGAATTTGGGTAATTGGTGTTCTGTGAGGTGGGTGCACTATATTTAAGTGAGGGTGGGCCCAACGGCGCCAGGGGGAAAAAGTGATGTTGCGCCATTGCACCATCAGCTCCAGCAAGCGTGGCCAATAGTCAGGGATAATGGGAGTCACAGTTCAACAACATCTGGAAGGCCAAAGCTTCCCGACACCTGACATAAAGCTTTGCAGCATATTTTTTAGATGATCTGGATTAAGCATTTTTGGGGGGCGGGGGATGAGGAAGTGGCCAGTAAACCATCATTTTTTACAGATTACACATAGATAATACTCTTACCTTTCTGAACACAGTGGTTTAGTATGGGAGCCAAGTTGTTCCGAATGGGTGTTAGTTCTTTTACTTTGGGTCGTTCTAGAATTGCTTGTTGAAAGCTTTCCCCTGAAATGGGAGGAAAATACAGACACACAAATTGTGTTTGTTTTGAAAAGACACTGAGCCTAACAAGGGTGGGATATGGGGGTGAGGGCAGGGGAAAAAGAGGGCGCAGATTGATTCTGTAAGCCCCTTTCCTTTCTCTCACCTCCCAAGTGATCAACAAAGCAGTATTATCCTACATGCAGATAGTGCCGCTGTCTCCCTACCTCAAAGCAGGCATGGTTTATCTTGGGGAAAGGGCATAAGGAAAAAGTGTTATAACAGAAAATAAGAAGAGACCTGCGGGATCAGGTTAAAGACCCATCCAGTCTAGCATCCTGTTCTCATAGTGGCCAATCAGAGGCATATGGCAAGCAGGACATGAGAACAGCAGTATTCTGCCCACCTGTGATTCACAGCAATTGGCATTCAGAGGCATAATGCTTCTTAAAGTGGTGTTAGGGTACAGCCATCATGGCTAGTAAACACATCCTAGACCCGCTAGCTAGCATAATAAAAGACACAGGCAATTGCTCACATTACATCTAGTTTGGCCTTAAATTTCAGGAACTCCATAAGAGCTTTGCAGTGACAGCAAAATATGGGCTTTTTAACCCATGATGAACATGTACCCCAACTGCACTTTAGGTTTTGTGATACCTTGTAAGATCTGCACCATGAACAACAGTCCAGTGCTCACCAGTTGTGATACTAAAATGTACCAGGATGGCCAATTTTTGCTATAGAATGTGAGCCAAGGAACTAGTTCTCAGCAGAGATCTCACCAGTGTAAGTTTGCAGCTTTCATGAGTTTCCATTCCAATTTTTGAAAGTATCAATTGAAATATAACAGATTGTGCATGCTTGAGCCATGATATTCACGAAAACAATCCAAGAGAAATTGCCTGTGCCAGTGGTAAAACTGTGCAACACATAATCCCACAGCACTAACCACAGACACTGTCATTGGAATAAATGCCGGTTCTAAATCCAGTAAGTGTTCATTTCTAAAAACACAAACCAGAAGCCATTCCAGATGCCTTGCAGATACACACAACCATTTGCTATTATTTTGTGGTTGTGTTTTATGATATACAGTGGTACCTTGGTACTTGAACAGCTTGGCTTCTGAACAAATTGGCTCCTGAACACCACAAACCTGGACGTAAGTGTTCCGGTCTGTGAACATTTTTCAGAAGCTGAACATCCAACGCGGCTTCCGCTTGAGTGCAGGAAGCGCCTGCAGCTAATCGGAAGCCATGCCTTGGTTTCTGAACGGTTTCAGGAGTTGAACGGACTCCCAGAACAACAGTTCAACAACCAAGGTACCGCTGTATATTTAAAATATTCAAACTCATCCATCCCAGCTAAAAAACCTGGCTGGGAAAATGAAACAATTATTACCAGGTTCCTAATAACTGTGAAGTTTGGTGCCAGACGAATAGAAAGAAGGATGGTATTTCACAAATGGAGACATTAGTACATGTGCAAATCCACTCCCCATTAATTTAGATATCTGTATGGAATAAAGGCTTACATTGTAACTTGGCCATCCATGCATGATGGTAACAGAAGGTGGCGCTAAATTAAGAATTTGATTATTAAAAACAAACAAAACTGTAATTTTTATTACTGAAAAGTAATATAAAAGGAATGAAATGGTATTATAGTAATGCTATGGCTAAACCAGTGCTTGGAATGGATCTGGCCTTATTTGAAACAAAACCATCCTACTTCCTTGATCCCCTGGTTTGAGTATTGAGAACTAAAAGAGTATATGCATTATTATGTCCAAAAAGAGGACGGATGACGAGTGTGTGGAAGAGAATGCTGTGAACTGTGTGGGGTTTATTCATTCCCACTTCTGAAGAAAAAAGCCACAGTTCAGCTTAATAGGGGCTTGACTCTTCAGTACGGAAACTGTCATACTGAGAACAATAAGCACGGCTCTGACTGCTGCATGCAATGATGCCATTCTAAGCACTTATGGGCCTTCGTGGATCACATGCAATAAATACAGAGAGGAGGGGGGAAATTACCTGATGGAGAATTGGGCAGGTGGGGAAGATGGGGAGGGCACAACAGCACATGACTGGATCTTTCCGGGTACAATCCGTCTACCAGTTTATTATCAGAAGGCATTGCTGTCCAGACTTTACATGTGAGTATTTGGTTAGTGTCAACTTTCCAAGGATTGTCCAGGGTTTGGCGGCTGCTCCTTTGATCTGACAAATCATGCTCACTTCTGCTTTTTTGGGACCGGTGTACAAAATGGTGGATGTCAGTACCCAAATTCATGCTAGGGGTTGTCGTGTGAGAAGCTGTTAAAAAAGAATGACCCACAGTAATGGGCGGGAGACTCTGGGCTCTTATTGGTGGAAGGCCATTGCAGTCTGAGGGGTTATTCTCTGAGATGAGGTACTTCTTGGTGTCCGCGCTTCTTCGTTTGAAGTCAATCGCTGTGACACATTCCTCAGAGGAGCCTTTGCAGCTGGCATCCATAATGCAGTCAAATGTGGTGATAATGTCATCCACCTCCGAGGTTTCGTCCCTCTGAGATCTCTCTCTTTTCTTGTCTTTTGGGTTTGACTTCCAATCCTCCTCCTTCTTTTTGCAGAATATTTGGTTAAGCATGCTGAATTTGCCTTCCTTCTTCAGGAATTTATTGTTCTGGTTGGAAACTTGATGGACAAACTCAGATCTTTAAAGAATAATAATAACAATAAGAATAATAAAAAACAAATCCATGGTGAGAGAAGAAAACTATAGTGCTTTAGAATCTCTACTTAAAAAACAAAAACGAAACTTGAGACTTTTGAAAAAATATTTTTAATTAAAATACTATTAAATAAACACTGTCACCCATCATACCCATATTTAAAACATGTAATTCCGCCCACAAATTTATATCCCAACTTTTGCAATTTTCACAAGATCATATACTTCTATTCTCAAAAATCAGGTTTAACACTACTCATTATGTTTATTATTATACAACACCAATTTATCTGCACACACACAAAAACACACACAAACATACTGAACATACAAAAAGTAATTCAGAGTACTTTAATTCTACCTCTGTTCCTTTAAAAACTAACTTCTGTCTAATATATTTAATCACAGGGATCCATGTCTATAGGTTACTTTTTGCAACATAATCCTGTTAGGTCTTTCAATATAACTGTTAATTTAAGAATTTCAGTCCATTCCCATAATTTGTGCAATAGTTACTTCCTAAACTTAAAAAGGATGTTTCTACATTTCTGCAGATAAAATTCTTGCAATAGTGAAAGTACACGGAATTAATATTCATTTTTCAACTGGTATGCTATTTTTAGACCTATTGATATGTCTGCTAAGTCATGATAAACATATATCCCAGCAGCATTCTCCAATATTCGAAAAAAGTTTATCTTAAATAAAATGTTACACATAGATAAAGTTGAAGCTCACAAGCTGGTTAAGAGAACCAGCTACATTTATACAATTTTAATGCCTGATCTCAGGATTATGGCATAATGAGATTTTTATTTTTAATCAACAAACAACATAGTTTTGCAGCTCTATAACACTGGGAGTGGGTTCTAGTTTTAACTTTAAAAAACCCCACCAACCAACCAATATCCTAAACTCTGTACGGTTGCAGCAAGAGGATTGTTCTCAAAGTAGTGAGCTTCTGCTAAACCTTTACAGGAAGTGTACTGCAGTTTGCTGAAAATTTATCGGAAAAGAGGCTTAAACATTTTCACTCTCACACTTCACAGCACAGGAAAGAAGGCTAGTTGTAGTCATTAACCGGAGGGTGGGGAAGGGCAGAGAAATGTAATATTCAGAAGACGGGGGGGAAACATTGCTAAATTTCCACCTTCATAGATGACTGTCCTCAAAAATGGAGAGCATATTGATACGAAAGGCACAGAGGATTCATAGTGCATTGCCATTTAGTAGGGCAGTTGTGTGATTGTTAAATCTTGTATCCAGAATGATTTTTTTCAGTACGTGGTGGTATTTTAAAGAAAACCATGAACCTCTTTTGCAAGTGAATCTGGCAGTAACTCAGAACAAATGGACAACCACCACAGCTATAAGGATGTACCTAATGATGATATGATAGACTCCTTGGGTATACATAATTTTGCCTGCTTCAATTGATCTCTGGCAAAACAGGCTTTGCAGGTTCTTGAAGTACTACTAAAACCTGCAAAACATGTTTGATCAGAAACTATTAAGGGACAGAAAAAAATGAATGTGCATGCAAAGGTAGATCTCTCAAACTGCACTTAGATATCTAAAGAACTCTCTTTTGTATATAGTCCGTGACTCTTTGAATGTGATATGTATCAGATTGAGGATTATGTAAACTGAAACCTAATCTAGGGTTTGTTTGTTTCTTCTGAACTTAATTTAGAACAGTGAACAAAGACTGCATGACTGGCTGATTCTAGTCTCACAAATTCCAGTTCAGATTTATAACCTGCCCTTGCTCAGAGATTCCATTGACAGGACTCATTAGCTGAATCCTTCCTGATACCTTTGAAGCAAATTTGTAGCACATTTCTCCCCTCAAAGAATTATGGGCACTGTTTGTTAAGGTTGCTGGGAACTGTAGCTCTGGGAGGGGTAAACTACAGTTCCCAGGATTTTGTGTGTGCTTTAAATGTATGGTGTATATAAAGCCTGGGGTTGCAACTACAAACATATAAAGCAAAAGGTACATTTTTGTTTTATATGTGCGGCACTGATGTGAGAGGAAGGTAGCCTTGTTTGTGTTCACTACTTGAATGTTAATAAAACCACTGCCTTTCTCTGATGGAAAGCTAGAGGACTCTCCAGTCAGGAAGTACAACAAAAACTTTATTGTCTCTTTTAAACAAGAGCATAGCAGCACCAACTCCTGACTCCACCCCAGGGGTCAGGAAACTTTTTCAGCAAGGGGCCGGTCCACTATCCCTCATACCTTGTGGGGGGGGCAGACTATATTTTGGGGAAAAAATGATCCAAGGCACCACAAGCCCCAGTGGCTGCTTACCTTTTCTTGCGAGCGGCAGGGGCCGGCGGTGGCGGGACAATGAGCAGCCGCGAAAGGGCTCCGGAGAGGGGCTGCTTAAAATGGTGGCCGCTCGAGCACTGCTGCTGCTGGCACCAACAAAGCCCAGCCCCCTTCCTCCTCTAGGCAGGGCGGGGAGAAGATAGGAGGAGGGAGGGAGGAGGCGCTGCTGCCGCCGTGTGAGGGAGAGGGAAAGAACGTGTGTGCTGGCAATCCATGCGGCGATTCCCGGACCGTCCATGGGCCGGATCCAGAAGGCAATTGGGCCTGATCCAGCCCATGGACCTTAGTTTGCCTACCCATGCTCCACCCAGATGCAATTAAGTGCAATGAAACCTAGTGACTAAACTATATAATGACAGTGTCCTCACAACTTCTAAATTAGGGATGGGGAACCTGTGACCTTCCCAATATTGGTGAACTTCCACCTGCCTCAGGGCTGTGGTCAGGGATGATGTAGTTCAACACCCCTATTCTAAGCTTTAGTGGAAAGTACTTGAGGCTAAAAACACAATAACACAATATGAAAATAGTTCTCAAAATGGCACTGGTATTGTGGAGAGTTTTGTTAATCATCACAAATGCTGTTACAACTAGGGATGAGGAAGAAATTTGATTCAGGTTCTCATTTAAAGCAGAATCTATCAAATTCACACTTTCTAAAGCAATATGCAAACTGAAACACAGCTATTGCTTGAATTTTGCATTTATCTGAATTTTACCATGCAGTTTGCCAACCAATGTTTACAAAAATACATATATTAGAGGGAAATGTTCATGAAAGTGACCAAATTGGTGAGAATAACATGGAAAATCACATTATATTAAGAGAAATAGCTTGCAAAAATATGAACATTAGTCAAAACTGAACATAAAATGTGTTTGTTGGGAGAAATTAACTGTAAAATGCTGATGAATTTTCAGGAGGGTTTTCTTTTTTTTTTAAAAAAAAAATGACCTCACAGAATAGTTTCAACTCAAAAATAGAATCTGGAAAAGTGACATAGCTCAGTGATATAGCATCTGCTTTCCATACAGACGGGTGCCAAGTTCAATCCCTGCCATCTCCAGGTAGGGCTGTGAGAGACTCATGTCTCGTTCTCTGAAGGGGTGCTGCCAGCCAGTGCCAACAACACCAAGCTAGTGGACCAATGGCCTGACTCAGTATAAGGCAGCTTCCTATGTTCTTTGCAACTCAGTTTGCAATGGTGTGGCTATTACGTTGGGTGGGAAGTGGGGAAGCAGGGTGAAGGTCCTCAGGGAAAGAAGAGAAGAAGAAGAAGAAGAGTTTGGATTTGATACCCCACTTTATCACTACCCTACTTTATCACTACCCTAAGGAGTCTCAAAGTGGCTAACAATCTCCTTTCCCTTCCTCCCCCACAACAAACACTCTGTGAGGTGAGTGGGGCTGAGAGACTTCAAAAAAGTGTGACTAGCCCAAGGTCACCCAGCAGCTGCATGTGGAGGAGCGGAGACACAAACCCGGTTCCCCAGATTACGAGTCTACCGCTCTTAGCCACTACACCACACTGGCTCTCAAAAACTACAGTAAGGGGTTACTGTAAGGAAAACTACAGTAAGGGACAACCTGATAAGCTCCAAGGTTAAAATTATTCCTATTTGCTATTTTGGGAGAAGTGAAAAGGGAAGGTTTTTACCTGTTCTCTTGGGACAGCAGTTTGATGCATGCTGTGTGCCCACAGTACATAGCATAGGTCAGGGGGGTGTTCTCATTGATGTCTCTTGGGCTGCAATCCACCCCCAGTTGTAACAAGGCCTTTACACAGTCAGCTTTTCCTGCTGCTGCAGCCCAGTGCAAAGGTGTCCTAGAGAGCAGAAAAACAAATCATTTTATAGCTTTGTGCTGTTTAAATTCAGACGAAAACAACCAGCTGAGGAGGTGGAGCGCCTCTATGGAGTCAGGATTTTTGAGGCATGGCAACTGTTCATTTTAATGCAATTACATGTCAGAGGCAACATAGTAGTTCACCACTTCCTACAAAGCACGACTTTGTAAGATTCCTGGAGCTCATGAGATGCAGTCAGGTCCAGTTAATCTTCTTGATACTTGCCTGTGAAATACCACCTCCATTGTTCCTCTGACTCTACTTCAAAAGAGTTGAATTTGAACATTAAGCAGCCAAAGAAACCTGGATTTAGGCAGCACAGCCAATATTATATTTGCAGATCTCACACATGGATGTAATTTGAGATTTGCCAGTAGGACTTTGTCCTGAGATCAAAGTTTTGCATCACAGCACAAATATTTGAAGATTGAATTCTCTGTGTTAAATTGTGTTTTGGAGAGAGGTTTGTTTTTTTAAAAAGTTTGTTTATTATTTCTGCATTCAACTTTTACATGGGGCTCCTAACGGTCTCCAATCCAGAAAAACTACCCAGTCCACACCTGCTTAACCTCAGTGCTCCAAGATCATTTACATGAGCTTTACTTTATTTTATAAAACGGATATTATATGCTTTTACACCATAGTGTTAAAGCATTCTTAACAATTAAAAAAAAAGATCTCCTTATATCTTGAAACTCTTTTTTAAAAATTATAAAATATTTCTATACTGACTTTTGGTTCTAAAAACACAAATGCTTATCTATTGTGGGCTTTTCTTCTTTTTACAGTAGACTTTTTAAAATAAAATGAGAGCTTCTGGGACCTAGGGAGGCCATGCGCTCCATGTTACAGGGGACTGTCCTCTATTTGAAGGGCTGTCAGAAGACGGCTCCCAATTTGAAGGAGCCCTCTGTTTGAAAGGGCAAAAGCCTACCTGAGATTCCTATCGTCTACCCTGTAAACCTTTCCCTTTTAAACCCCAGACGTGCAAGAAGCACTTCCTCCTTTACCTTATTACTTATTAGATAATAACTCACAAACCTCCTCCCTATTGAGCCGTGGTGCCACAAAATCAACTCTGGCCAACATTTAAGCAAACAACGTTAAGAAACGCCTTCCAAAAACACTTGCTTTTTCTCCTTTACAGAACCGTAACAGTAAAGGTTAAGGAACCCACTTGCTGAGTTGTTGCTGAGCAAGGAGGATCCATGGAGAGTATCATTTCATTAGGGGACACGTTTCATAAGAAAGCCGCCAAACCTCCTTCACTGTAGGTCAAAAAACAACGAGGGCCCCTGCCAGAGCTCTGCAGCTCTTTTCAGTTGGTTTCCATGGTCACCTGTCATCCACGTCGAGGGCCTGCAGGTTGCATTCTGGGACTCTAGCCAGCTCACTGATAATGTCGCTGTATCCTGCAGCGGCAGCAATGTGGAGGCAAGTCTTCCCGTTCTCATCGTCGTAGTTTATGATCGACGGACCCTGGCGGTGGCTCAGGATGATAGAGCAAAGGATCCGATTGCCACTCTGAAAACCAACCATATATGTGTGTGCTTGCAAAGAAGAAGACGTAATGAACAGCAACTCCTGCTCCTACTAACTTTGTGTGTTTGTGATGTTCCCTCATGCACTACAAAGGCATGTGCTTTATATTTAGCTTTCAACCAGTCTGTTAATTAAATTTAAACTGATGTAGCGGGACGCGGGTGGCGCTGTGGGTTAAACCACAGAGCCTAGGGCTTGCAGATCAGAAGGTCAGCGGTTTGAATCCCTGTGACGGGGTGAGCTCCCGTTGCTCGGTCCCTACTCCTGCCAACCTAGCAGTTTGAAAGCACACCAGTGCAAGTAGATAAATAGGTACCACTCTGGCGAGAAGGTAAACGACGTTTCCGTGTGCTGCTCTGGTTCACCAGAAGCGGCTTAGTCATGCTGACCTGGAAGCTGTACACCGGCTCCCTCGGCCAGTAAAATGAGATGAGCGCCACAACCCCAGCATCGTCCGCAACTGGACCTAATGATCAGGGATCCCTTTACCTTTTTATAGTGTCAATCAGAGTTTGAGACTCACGAATAGAGCATTTTCAGGGGTTTCCCCCCCGCTGAATGGTAACTTGTGCTTTAGAAGACAATTTGTTGTTAACGGTAGGAAAAAATTCCTGTTGGCAGCAGGATAGGTTTTATTACTTGTCTGTTTCCTGCCCTGAGCTTCTTTGGGAGGAAGCGGGGAGGGGGAGAAACAAACAAACAAACAAACAAACAAACAAACAAACAAACAAACAACTGTGAGATGTGGAAATAATACAGTAGTCTCTAATGCAGAAAGTACCACAGCTACCCTTTCTTCATCAAAGTGGTTGCTATGAGTCCAGCCTTGTTGCTTTATTATTATTAAATTTACTACCTGCCCTTCACTAGTAGGTTCTGGGGCAGATTACAACAATTTAAAATTCAGTATTCAAAACGGTTAAAACAAATTACAGTCACAGGAATAGGGTGGGTCCTCAAAACACACATATCAGGTGTCGAAAGCCATGGTAAAGAGCCATGTCTTCAGCATTTGCTAGAAGCTGTATAGTGAATGTGGCAGCCACACCTCTGCGAGGAGGGAATTCCACAACTTAGGGGTTGCCCCAGGGAAGGCCCTTTCCTGAGGCAGCACCCCACTGAACTTCTGAGGGCAGTCAAACTACCAAGAGGGCTCTCTCTGCTGATCTTAACACCCTGGGGGGGTGTCTGTGGGGGTGGTCACTCAGAGATTTCGGGGCCTAAGTTGTTTAGGGCTTTAATCATTAGTGGGAGCACTTTGAATTGTGCCCAGAAATGAACTTGGAAGGCAAGGGGCAGCCCAGGAGCCAACAACATCCCAGGATGACAAACCAGAAGATTGATTAGGGGGTGAATCAAGGGAGAATGAGAGATGTTGGGAAAAGTGGTTCTTCAAACCTGAGGAATCAGGGTGAGAATATTCAATCTATTACAATAGATTTGATAAATGCATCCCTCCCTATAACTAGTGCCTTTTAAATCTGTTTTACTTCTCTTAGTCAAATCTTTGCAAAACTGGTGTTAGAAGTGCTTCTGTCGGGTGGGTTGCTTCTGAATAGTGGTAAACGGTCAGTTTATATGTTATCAATGGGAGCCAATGATTAAGTTCTCCTCATAGCTGGAGATCTCTTTACGGTTTTGAATGAGACGCCACCACAGCTTGGAGAACATGACACATTTACAGCGCAAGGGTAGGGCCAGAGAGACTGCAAAAGAGCAGATTTGAGTTTTGAATGTGATACTACAAAGAAAGGGACAGAGAGAGCTATGAGTCAGCTGAAGGTGAAGCTCATTGGAGTCTCCATGTTTCTCTGCAGATCTGCTATTTGTTTGTCTCCACGTAAGCTCTGCTTGAGTATTTGTAAATAGAGCAAACATTACAGAGACACTTTAGGTCTCCACTGCTCTTTTTTATCAAGAGGAATCTAAACCTAGAGTCCATTCTGAGTATTACTGTACCACAAATAAAATATTTTTAATGCCCATTTGAAATACAGTTTTAGATTGCTCAACCATATGTATTTCACCCAGCTCTGCTTATGTCCCCTGGCAGCATCATTAAAAAAAAAAATGATCCCAATGGGTAGATAGCAAATGATGGCCAGGATCCAATGAACTAGTTTTGTGCTCCCAAAGGGGACTGGAAAAACAGTGCCCTGTCAAGCATAGCAAAACACTTTTAAAACAGATTCAGAAAAGGGATTCACTTTAAGACTTAAGGGCCTGTTGTTCAAAGAAGGAAAAAGCAAGTTAAAAACTTCCTGAGCCAGGTGTGAAGGGGTAGGGGGCCCCTAGGTAAAGGTAAAGGGACCCCTGACTGTTAGGTCCAGTCGTGGCTGACTCTGGGGTTGCGGCGCTCATCTCCCTTTATTGGCCGAGGGAGCCAGAGTACAGCTTCCAGGTCATGTGGCCAGCATGACTAAGTCCCTTCTGGTGAACCAGAGCAGCGAACGGAAGCGCCGTTTACCTTCCCGCCAGAGTGGTACCTATTTATCTACTTGCACTTTGATGTGCTTTTGAACTGCTAGGTTGGCAGGAGCAGGGATCGAGCAACGGGAGCTCACCCCAACGCGGGGATTCGAACCGCCGACCTTCTGATCAGCAAGTCCTAGGCTCTGTGGTTTAACCCACAGCACATCCCAGGGGGCCCCTAGACCCCCCCAAAACACCACCCTTTTAGGGATTTCCCAGATGAGCTTACCAGATAGCAGATGCAACAGGGACAGGTGGAGGCTGGTGGCAGCGGGGGGTGGGTAGCAATGGGGATGAGAGCCCCTGAAAGCAGCAGCTTTACCTCCTGCCATCCAGTTCTCCCTCAGTCCTGTGCTGTGAAGAGAAGCCCTGGGTCAGGCACCTGTAGCTTCCATCTTCAGTTACTTGGATCACCTTTGGGCCTCAATGGACCACCAGAGAGGGACACTAAATTGGAGGCAGACCCCAGAGGCATTGTGGATACTGGTGTTGATGGCAGCTGTAGCTGCCTGGCTTGGCACTTCTCTGTTCATGCTGGGCATTTGTTCAAATACACTATGTGCCGGTGGGGGACCTGGCTGAAGCCTTTGCGCAAATGTATATTTTTGGATCTTAGCAGGTGTCTTTTAAGCCAGTGGTACATTCCATTTCCACCCCGCTTTCAACCACAAGCCAGTGATTTTACATTTCTTTTTATTAAGCAGCCTTTGTGGTGAGCCGGTTTGTACAAAGGTGAATCATTTCTTTGAATGTTGAAGGTAGCTGTGGGTGTATGAACGTAACTCACGCTGACATATTCAAAACAAACAGTGACATAATTCTATGCCTTTTTATAAGAGGCGAAATAATTCTTTTTTTTTAAAAAAATCTGTCCTTATGGCAAAATCCTGGTCGCATTCTTTCCTCTGCTTCCCTAGCTACAAATGGTGTGTCTGAGAAACAAAACTGGATGAACTCTTAAGAAAAAGGTTCTATAGATCCCCAGGCAGATTTGGGATCCTGAGAAATATATACTTCCCATGCTCATTTTACAGATTACAGTGGTACCTCGAGTTAAGTACTTAATTTGTTCTGGAAGTCCATTCTTAACCTGAAACTGTTTTTAACTTGAAGCACCACTTTAGCTAATGGGGCCTCCTGTTGCCGCCGCACCACTGGAGCACAATTTCTGTTCTCATCCTGAAGCAAAGTTCTTAACCTGAGGTACTATTTCTGGGTTAGCGGAATCTGTAACCTGAAGCGTATGTAACCTGAGGTACCACTGTACTCATTTGTTGTTGTTGTTTTTACTTTCAGTGGTTTCACATTATGGAACACAACAGGATCAAATGAAGAGACACATTTGCTTTTGACAACCGTACTATACCTGGACTGCCCAGTGAAGAGCTGTTTTAAAATCTTTGTCCACCAACACCGGATCAGCTCCTTTATGCAGCAAAATTTGCGTGTGCTGGGGTCGATTGTGGAACGCAGACCAGTGAAGAGACGTCATCCCCTGAAAATCACAACCGAGGACATCAAAGCTTGGGGCAATGCATGACAGCCCTAGAAGTAGGGATAATAAGGTTATGAAACAACAGATCTGCCTGTGTCTATGAGGGAGCCAAAAGCAACCGCCATCCTGCCTGGACCTAACACTACCTCTGTGGAGACTTTGCACTGATTTACAGGGGGTGGTGTGGTGGTATTCACACCCCTGATTCGCACCCCAAAGGCCTTTGCCTGCCTGGAATGTGTCTTTGAACTCTGGGGATGCCTATTCCTGTCCCGGATGGAGGTTAGAGGGGCGTTTGAATGTGTGGTGAAAGTAGCCCATTGGACAAAAGTAACATTTACATTAATTGCTGCACCCACTTTTGCCCCTGTCCCTGGTCCGGCATGTGGCCTTGAGATGGTTGCCCAGTAGCCCTCAGGAGAAAAAGGTTCCCCAACCCTGACCTAGTGCAACAAACCCACTTTTAAAAAATCACCCTGGCCTTTTGGGGGGGGGGTTAGGAAAGTAACAGAGCTATGCACTGAAAAGTGTGAGATTCCTGCATTTCAGGGGATTTGATTAGATGACTCTTGGGGTCCCTTCCAAGTCCACAGTTCCATGATTCTATGAATGGATGATTAATGGGAAGATGTGCAAACACCCAGTCACCATAACAGGATGAATGCTCATTGTGCAATAATCACCCCATAAACAAACTAGAATTAAAGCTCAATAAAGCCAAGCAGAGTCTAACCACTGTGTAAGATTTGTGTGAGCAAATCAGGATGAATGATAAACAGGTTATCTCACTGGGCCTTGTGCCTCAGCCCAGCACTCCTTGGCCATGCTTAGTCCTCATTGGGCTTTTTTAACCCCCCCCCTTTTAATGTCCGTAAATCTGGGTGTTTTCTTGATTCTGCTAATACCTCCCTATTGTGCATGGCACCATTATGGCTACATAAGCAATGGCACAGATCTCTGAATATAGAGGCAACTGTAATGATGTGTGCCTCCCAATCACCAATCGATGAGAGACTCCAGGGTGTCAGTGCTTACCCAGGGTGCAGTTTCCTTGGAATGGAGACTAAGAACTCAGCTAGATTGGTAAATAAAGAGTGTTTTATATGCGTGGTACATGCATTATAACACTGTGACACCAGATGGCACTGTGGAGTTCCATTTTTGCCAACGCGATTTCTCATACAAAGTTTACAGTGTGTTTTCCTGAAACACTTCTTTGATGTGTCTAGCTCGAGCCTAGGATGGCTTTATTTGTACACATACTGTATACAACCTGAACATAGGATGGAAGGGATCTGCACAGGTCTTGCTTCCCCATTAGGTTCCCTGAGCACAGAGCAAGACAAGTCTCTGTGTCTCTAGCTTCTAGCATAAGCCAAAACTCACATAAACTCAGCTCCCCTTCACCTATTGTTATCCCTCTTAGGATGACATGGCAGCCAGCCAGGTGAGCTGAGAAAAGGCCCACTCATTTGTCTCTATGGCCACAGGGCAATCAATCTTTTTGGACATGTAAATGGAAGTACTTAACTTGCCAGCTAAGGCCATTATTTTACAAAGAAACTGGTCTGACCAGTTCAGCAGGTTTCCTCATATAGCTTATAACCTCACAAATACAGGATCACATGTTTGGAAGGGACCTACTGATAGCATCCAGACTGACGCCCACAAACTATAACAGTATTTCCGTGTGTTCAATCCTAGTTTACAGTCATTGAAAACAGTTCAGTTGGCTTGTTTCACCAAGCATGGTGTAGTCTGGACAGAAAACAACAATGGCCAAGTGCAGAGCTTTTTTCCGTCCAGAACTCACTGGAACTCAGTTCCGGCACCTCTCAGTTGGGTGCCGTTGCCATTATAAGAGAACAAGGGAAGCATTCATGGTGACTTCCACACCTCTTTCTCTAGAAAAATAGCAGTGGCCAAGTGGATGCTAAATGTCTGTGTGAACCAACCCTCAGATTAATAATAATAATAATAATAATAATAAATAATAATATTTTATTTATATCCTGACTTCCCCAGCCGAAGCCAGGCTCAGAGTGGCTAACAATAGTAAAATGATACAACATTCTAAAATCATTTCATTATAAAATCAGTTCAAATCAGATTAATGGCAACCATTGGGCTAGAGTTAAGCATGAAACACTCCTTCACCCGTCAATAACAATCTTTATACACCACACAACAATTTAGGGGATACTAGTTTGCTTACCTCATTGTCCTGGTGGTTGATTTCGCTGAGATCCGATTGCTGTAGCAGCACAGATAAAAGCCTGAGGAGGATAAAGTGACATTCCACGTCAAAATAAAAGGCAAAACAAAATTCAGAGGAAGTCATGGTCCCATTTCAGTAAGGACGAAGCAACTTTATGTCATAGTGACATAACAATTAAACATGTGCCTAGCTTTCACTTCACGAAGTCAATGGAACCTAAATGTACTTAACTTTATTAATTGTTTGAGTTTCTATGCTTTTGTCACGGCCTTTGACTAGCACAATAAACTTACTGAAGCTTTAATTAAACAATGTTTTTAACAGTACTGTATAAGCCTAAAAGCTAGAACCTTAAAGTCAATGGCCTTGTTCACATACTTCCCCAAATATGGTTCAGATCCAGTGTCACATTATCACACTGTGTTAAAAAATAAGAAATAATACCCATGTAGAAAACGAAACAGAAAAAAAGATATTGTGTACATTACAAGAAGGGGGGATGGACAACTTGTTATTGTAGTTAACCAGACCTTGTTTCTTTTTCTTTTTTGTGTCTTACTCTGCACTTGTATTTTATTCTTTTCATTTTTCAATAAAGAATATAAAATAAATAAAAAATTATCACACCACCAATGATAAAGACTCTCCTCCTGCAAAGAGGGGAGGGGTAGTGGGCAGGAGCCGATCTCCGCCACAAGCAGGGGGCGTTAGCCCCCTGCCACCCACTCACCTGGCTGGCACACCACGCCCATGGGCAAGCGTCCAACCAGGTGGCTTGAGGGGGCGTGGACGGCAGCTTAACTTGCTGCTGCGCCAGCCACGCGGCCTCACTTTTCGCTGTCCCGTCGCGAGTCGAGCACTCCTCCCTCTATAGTCCCTTGCTAAAGGGGAGAAGCAACTGGCTTAGCATTATGTGCAAACCAGGGCTTATGGTTTTTCTCCAAACAAAGAAGAAGCCAGGGGTCATCATTGGTTTCCTGTTCATGGTTTATTTGGGTGAAACAAAGCATGAGTGCTGGCTGACACATCAGGTTAAGGCAACTGCTCCAGGATTTGTTTTCTTACTCTAGGATAGGCATGTCAAAGCAGGGAATGCTCAAGTTGTGTGCACTAGTGTGCCTCTTGTTCTCAAGTTAAATTATCTGACTATGTTCAGGGCCGGATTAAGACCTTGAGAGGCCCTAAACACCTGAAAGATTTTGGTGCCCCCCTATATATCAAATTCAAAATATAAACAATAATAAACCATAAAATAAAAATTTATTTTTTTAAAAATGAAACAAACCTACAGTGGTACCTCGGGTTACATACGCTTCAGGTTACATATGCTTCAGGTTACAGACTCCGCTAACCCAGAAATAGTACCTCGGGTTAAGAACTTTGCTTCAGGATGAGAACAGAAACTGTGCTCTGGCAGCGCAGTGACAGTGGGAGGCCCCATTAGCTAAAGTGGTGCTTCAGGTTAAGAACAGTTTCAGGTTAAGAACGGACCTCCAGAACGAATTAAGTACGTAACCCGAGGTACCACTGTACGATGGAAAATAGATCTTCATGGATATGAATGCCACCATTAGGAAAAATCTACAGTATATAACTATAGACTTGCCCCAATTCAGCAATATACTCCAGGATGTTTGGTTTTTTTGAGTTACCTTTTGGTGGTAAGAGATATGGCAAGAGAGGCATTAATTTATTGCAATGTGAATTTTGCATTTACCATAACATCAAACTAAGGTTTAGCACCATGGGAACAACAAGCCCTGTTTCACATGCTTCCTTCTTGCATGTTCCAGTTCAAATAGTTATTTAGACAAACCATACCTTGGCCGTACTACAGCTGAACTGACAAATTTGCACTTGCCCACCAAACCAAGTTTGCAAACCACATTTTGAAGATGGTTTGTGATCCTGGTTTGTAGGGCTTATGTAAACCACAGAGAGGGCTCCAACACTGTTGTTCCATGAGCAGAAGGGAGTTTGTTCATGAAATGAGAACTATTCTTATGAAACAGATCCACCCATGTGTGTAACTATCTTTCCATGAATGGAAAATGAATTGGGATTTTCAAATGGTCATGTCAATCACTCAAAAACACCAATTGTGTTAGGAGAAAGATAGAAAGGGTGGCTTGGATCCTAACTATCTTTCCATCCATGGAACAGAGTTCATGTTCATGCAACAAAGTTTATTTTTCTTCCCTTTTCCTGGGCTGCTCCCTGCACCCCCACCAAATGTGGGTAACATGATGTAACATGACTTAATTTGTTGAATTTATACAAGTATCAGAACACACCCTTTTGCTGCACAATTTGAGATGTCTTAGTGCTGAATTTAGTTGTTTGTTTAATAAAAAAGTTATTAATATTATTATATTATATTTTATTCTGGATACACATTGATTTCTTACATGGACATTGCTGTTTGTGTTCCTTGCCATGTTGAGCAAAGATGAAGAGAAAAACAAATGGTCATGGCGAAGATCTGTGGCATTTCAGCAGTGCTTTCTGGTAATGGAGTGATCATATTCAGAAGATCTAATTTTGCTGATTTGGGCTAATAAGACAGATGAAAAGGAGCTGAACAGCTGGCACACTTCTGCTCCGACCAAAGGTCTGCCCGTTACCATGGGGACTGTAGAAATTTATTTTGCAGGGATCTCTCTGTGTTGCTGCTAAACTAAATTACCACTCCCTTTCCAAATATCAGTGCTGGCTCCTATTCTGTGGATGTTTTATTTAATGATAATGCCCTCTTGGTTGCCTTGAAACCTTTCAAGAGTACTGTTCAAATGATGTGTATAAAGAAGAACAAGGATGCCAGAAAATTAGGAAAGCAACTGAAAATTGAGATTGCTTGAGAGAAGTGGATGGAAGAGGTTTGTGAAGCATAATGGGTGTGTGATACACTCATGGAAGCACAATGTTCAATATTTTCATCAGAGGTAGCACACACGCTGGTAATATCCTGTTTGTTTCCTTAAAATGGATTAGGTGTTGTTGCATACATGCGTCCACATCAAGCTGTGCTTTGCACAGAATGAAGCAAGTGCTCCCGTTGCTTCTTGCCTGCTTCAAGGAAATCAATATTAAATTAAATAAGAATGACACTGTCTTTGGTTTTGCATGCATCTGAGTCACAGAAACCAATGGGATTTGCCTGCACAAAATTGTGCACAGGATCACAGCCCATAAGAACCACAATAATTCAATGGATTTTCTTGATAACATGAGTCTCAAGTGATTTCTTGTTGGTATTGTTAAAAGTTCCATGCAGTGGTTCTCCACAACTGAGGAAAAGTAGTCTCAAGGCAAATCTTAGCTACAGAATTGTACTAACAGCCTTTTGCACAGTGCTGGATGTGGTTGTCTGGAATCGTGGCTGTTTACTTACCATGGCACAATCCTGAAGAAACTAACACAAGGCTTACATCCCATTTTATTGTTTCTTGTGTGGATTATGTTAATGCCTGGTCATTGTTCACCCAGCAAAGAGACATTTCTAAATAGGAAGAGTATTTGCATGAACTAGTTTTTTCCATATGGAGGCTGTACTCATGAACACTCATTGGTTTCTGCAGTTGCCACAATTGCACTTGTTGCAGAAACTACAGTATATGTGAAGCCCACTGGGATATCCTTCATAGAAATAGTGGCTATATATGTACATCTCTTGGTCACAACTTCTGCAGCAGCGCCATACACTTCTTCTGTACTTTGATGGCTGATAAAGAATCAGCCCTGGGATGGTATTTAATGTAAGTTTTAGCCAGAGTAAACCTACAGAAATTGATGGGCATGACCATCATTGATGGTCCATTGATTTCAATAGATCTACTCTGAATAAAACTTGCATGAAATACCACCCCAGGGTTCAAGTACAGCAAGCAACACCACAGCTGTGAAAAGCTTCATCAGCAATCCTTTATGTGCAGTTAATTATTAGTACAGGACGCCCAGGCAGGTAGAAAAGTATGATTAATAATACAAAAAGGCTGAAATTCTAATGAGTCTTATCAACCTCTTTTATTACCTAAGAGGGAACATGTTATAACCACTATGAGCAATAATGAAAAAGCTACAGATTACAGATCTATTAAAAGATTCATTATCTGTAGCTGTCTGGTGATTTCAAAGAGCATACCTGACATTGGGATCAGCAGTGGCAGCATGTAGTGGTAATCTTCCATTTTTATCTGGGATGTTCTGTTTGGCACCATTTCTCAGCAGGCTGACGCAACCTTCCAGCCACCCCTGAAAGTGAATCAAAAGGAAAGAGGCTGTGCAAATTGGAAACTTTTTTGAAAAAATATGTGTACTGGATATGAATTTGTTTTAACAATATTATTTTTTTTAAAAAGGTAACAGTGCAATCTGTACATGACTACTCAGAAACAAGTCCCATTGATTCCAGCATGTCTTACTCCTAGGTAAGATGTAGATGTAGGACTGCAATCTATATCTCTAGGTTTGGGACCTAAATGCTGAGTTAATTGACATCTGGCACTCTTAAGACCTCAGAGGTTGTGCTAGTTTGTAGGTCTACCTTCCTTGATGTTTCATGGCATTACATCTGCTGAAGCAGGGGTTCTTAACCTGTGGTCCATAGAACTAGGGGGGGGGGGCATTGGTGGGGGTCCATGAACACAATGCAAAAAATGATTTCCAGTGCAATGAAATAATTTATAGCAACCAGGAGGAAGAATCTATAGGACATGTCCTTCTGTTTTGCAATTTCTAGTTCCGCAGCATATGATTACCGAATGACAATTTTTCTGACGAAGACATATTCGACATAACGCTGGACAAAGGAAATATTTACTTCAGAAGATGATGTGTGTGCTTAAAAAAACACCCTAGTGGAGCTGTTGCAAGTTTAACAAATGCATTTTTAGTGACATCTCATTTAAACTGTCAGCAGTCCCTTTGACAATGTCGTATTTTGCCAGTATTTATCATATGCTATAATAGTTCCAGAATGCTGCTTTTTTGTTGCTGACACTTCCTAAAAACTATGTACAGGGGAAGGAAAGCTCCATACCAGGTAGGTTGCCAGAGATAAACTAGTGCGCCCACATGCATCTTGGGTGTTGATATTGGCTCCCATCTTCAGCAGTAATTTCACTGTATCAAGCTGGCGTCCTGAGACAGCGTGCATCAAGGGAGTACAACCTTGGAAAGGAAAAAATGTATTTCGTTCAAGGCACAGTACAAAAACAGAGATGCAGGTGGCACTGTGGGTTAAACAACAGAGCCTAGGACTTGCTGATCAGAAGGTCGGCGGTTTGAATCCCCGCGACAGGGTGAGCTCCCGTTGCTCGGTCCCTGCTCCTGGCAACCTAGCAGTTCGAAAGCATGTCAAAGCGCAAGTAGATAAATAGATACCGATCCGGCGGGAAGGTAAATGGCGTTTCCGTGTGCTGCTCTGGTTTGCCAGAAGCGGCTTAGTCATGCTGGCCACATGACCCAGAAGCTGTACGCCGGCTCCCTCGGCCAATAAAGCGAGATGAGCCCAGAGTCAGTCATGACTGGACCTAACCACAACCCCAGAGTCAGTCATGACTGGACCTAATGGTCAGGGGTCCCTTACCTTTACCTTTAGTACAAAAACACATGTATAGTATATCAAGTGCTTCGTTTTGCTTTAAAAAGTGCTTGCACTCCTGGAAGTATTGTTACCTCTCAGAGAATCCAATTTCAAACTCCACATAAGTTAGCTATATTATATGACTGTGTTAGTTGACGTGTGTTTGTGTGTATTCATTCTGCACCTGGCTAGCTTGGGGGGGGGGGGACGGGAAGGGAAGTAATCTGAGGCAGATACCAAAGTAAATTACACCCACTACCCTTTCAAGATTTTTTATTTTAAACATTAGCAAGAGCTTTCAGGGTGACTTCATGCCTTATCTTACCCACCAGTTGCCCCCATTGGGCAGAATAAATTGGGGGAGATTGGGCTTCAAACTGCTTCACTTAGGGTTGCAGACGATTTGTTTCCTTATTTTAAGTCCTAACTAAAATGCATAAGCCTTTTTGCAAACTAATTGCCCCTATAATTATAACGATAATTTACTTTTTTATCCCACCCTCCTCCCAAAGAAGCCTACAGAATACATTTATTTTCACAAATATATGCATTTTAAAATGTGCCCTTTAGTATATAATTTTTTGTACACCCAACTTGGTTGGAAAACCTCACTGCAAAATTCAGGAATATGCACATTTTGGAAGATGCTTGTATTTCATTTCACGTACTGTATTGTTTGGAAAGTGAAAATGTGGCAGATTTACCTTTAAACTGAATCAAATTTCTCTCCCAACCCTGGGCAAAGGAATCAGTACTGTTGTCTTGAGAATGAGGCAGAGAGATGGGGGTGGGGAACAGGATGTTAGACCCACAAACCGTGGCTTCCTGCAATCCAGAATTCCTCTCACAGCTCTCATGTTGTAGAAGCCCAACATAATAGTCATTCCTGCAACACATATATCTAGTATTCCACATCACTGTTTACCTCCTAAGCCTGTCGTTTGCCCACCATTTTGTCTCTTATCCCTTGTTTATTAATGCACTGATCATTTTGCACGTTGGCAAATGTTTGCAGTGCAAAAGCTGCACAGAAACCGAATGAGGCAAATCAAAAGCAAAACTGTGGATTGAGGAGCAGCAACCATTGTGGATGGAGAAATGTTTCGTGACTGGAAGACCAGCCTCATGACTTTCATTTTTAGGTGCAGCTTTTTTTTTAATTAACTAGATCCAAGTAGTTAGTTGGGGAACTAGTCACCGGCCTCTTACTTTCTTTTTTTGCTTCCCTCTTCCACACTTCTATTGTGAACACCAAGCTACGTAGAGTGGCACAGAAATGTACAGATAGCTCTTTTACATACCTTCCAACATTGTTGCCCTCCAAACTGGGACATCAGGAGGGATGCACCTTCCAATTCGGCACTCTGGCACTGGTCAGCAGAGTTGTGCCACAGTGCTGGCTATTCAGGGCAGCTGTTGGGTATGTCTTTACACACCAGCAGCTAATTCAAATGTTCAGAAAAACCATGCAGTTCAGCCTTCCTGGCTGCAGATTTCCTTAGACTGTGCTACTTCAGGAACTCAAATGACTGTTGTTTGAAGCATGTCAAAAGCTCCTTGCATATGGAAAATTAGTAATTCAGGTAGCTAATTCTAGCTAAGCTGGAAACATCCCCACATGCATGGGGTTTTTTGATACAAGAAGGAATGACTGATACTGCTAAAATTCACCTGAGTGTAGGTGTCATTGAACTCGGTGGTGTTTCAGATTTCGTAAGCTCAACTGACAGAACACAGTGGGATTTAAAACAAAAGATGTGCAGCCAGCTGAAAGGCAAACTTTATTTCTTATCCAGCAAGGCAAACAATCTTGCAAAGAAGCAATGCTGCTTAAACTGCTAAGGTGAACTTTGCCATCAAAGCAAAGGAAAGTATTCACCAGCCGTTTCTTTATTCCCCCATCCCTGATGGTCCTCTGACTTCTCGTATGGATAACTGTCACACGCAATAGTAAAGCAGTCCTGTTGTTACATCATTCATTATCCAGAACAGTTGTCCTGAAACTCTTACAGATGACATTATTGTTTATACACTGAAAACAAACAAACCCAGAGTTGCTCCCACACATTTCCCCTCTACTGTACCCTTTTGGTTCTCGAATAGTATATAGTTCTCAATTTTTCACAGTTAAGTCTGCATTACTGCATGTGAACATTTAGGATTACAGTTATAGACATATGAAGCTACTTCATCCTGAATTGACATTGGTCCAGTGTTGTATGCTGTGGCGAGCAGTGGCTTTCTAGGGTTTCAGGTAAGAGGTTTTTCAAGACCTTCCTGGAGATGCTGGGGATTGTGGAGATTGAGCGCCAGTGCGGTGTGATGGTTAGAGTGTAGGACTAAAAGGACCTGGGAGAGCAGGGTTCAAATCCCCACTCAGCCATGAAGCTCGTTGGGTGACCTTGGGCCTAACCTACCTCACAGGGTTGTTGTCAGGATGAAATTGAGGGAAAATGAACCATGTACCACCTTGAGATTGTTGGAAGACAAAATTGGTATAAAAAGGTAAAGGACCCCTGACAGTTAAGTCCAGTCGCGGACGACTCTGGGGTTGCGGCGCTATTCTCACTTTACTGGCCGAGGGAGCCGGCGTTTGTCTGCAGACAGTTTTTCCGGGTCATGTGGCCAGCATGACTAAGTCACTTCTGGCGAAACCAGAGCAGCGCACAGAAACACCTTCCCGCCACAGTGGTACTTATTTATCTACTTGCACTTCGTGCTTTCGAACTGCTAGGTTGGCAGGAGCTGGGACTGAGCAACGGGAGCTCACCCTGTAGTGGGGATTCCACAACTAGAGCGCCTCTTCTGCACATGCGCGGGCGGTGAACCCAGAAGTAAACACTTCCCTGTTTGCTGCATTCGTAAGCTGAAAGTCTGTAACAAGAGTGGAATGCAACACGAGGTATGACTGTATATAAATGTCAAAAATAAATATTTGACCTCTAGACTTTCCGCATACAAAGCAGTGCTGTCTAGCTGAGTTTCAGCCCCTTCAGCTTGTTATTAGGTACACTGGAGAAGAATTCGCTTTCTGGGAGTTGTGCAGCTATAATATATGATTGTGCCATATATTATTGTGAACAGAGAGGAGGACGAATGTGTCTTAAAAGAACTGCTGTAATCACTACCCCTTTTCTTTCACTTGTAAAGAAGGAAGTCTCTAGCCGTGATACTGTGATGTCGAAAGTGATGCTAAAAACAGCAGAACCATAGCAATTAGTTACAACTTTTAGCAACTGAAAAACAGAGAAAGAATCGCTTTACCATCACTGTCGCAGCATTCTAGTATTGAGGGATCTTCACGAATGACAGCCGTCAAAGTGTTGATATCCCCATTAGCTGCTGCTTGATATACCAGAGTCAAGTTGAATTCTTCTGCCGAATCGCCTGTGGGAATAAAAGCAGCAAGGAAAACAAAATATTTTGTTTTTGTCTTTGGTGGTGGTGGGGTTGCAAGAAGATCGATGACAAGGTTAAATACAGCCCTCACATTAAAGACAGTCACATAGAAGAAGGAAGAAAAACACCATTTCGCAATTCAGGAGCAAATCCTAACATAAAAGGGCAGGCAGGCATTTTGCTGTTCCAATCCAAACGTCTTCAATGTACTTTGGTGATGATGGAAGCTGCAGATCATGATCTAGATTGTTAAGATTATGATTTGCACTTATAAGTCACTTTTTAAACAAAAAGAAACTCAGAACTTTTCTATTTCAGCAGGCCTATTCAGACACATGCTTTTTTAAATTAGTTTTTAAAAAATAATTATTTCATTGTGATTAATTGCTTTTAGATATTTTAAACTGTTTTAAAATATAGCTGTATTTTATTTTTAACTATTTTTCTATCATAGAAGTGTTTGCCACCATGGGCACCTTGGTGAGAAGGGTGGGGTATAAATGTAACAAATAATAATAATAATAATAAATGCAGTTAGGCAAGGCCTTTTCTGTTGTGACATCTTTGGTGCAGAACAGCTGTGGGGAACATTTGGCCCTCCAGATGTTGCTGAACTACAATTCCTATCATCCCTGGCCATTGACCATGCAGGCTGGGACTGTTGGGTGGGAGTCGTGATTCAACAACATCTGGAAGGGCGCAGGGTCCCCATGCCTGGAGTAGAGGCCCTGTGTGCTCTACCTGGCTTGGGGGGGAAAGGTGGAGGTGTTTTTCTTCCCAAAACTTTTAGAATCTAAGAGTTTAATATATTTTTAATGCTGGTTCTGCTGGTATTAGTATTAGTTTAGTATTGCTAAAGGGACGCGGGTGGCGCTGTGGTCTAAACCCTGTGGTCAGAAGGTCAGTGGTTCGAAACCCTGCGACGTGGTGAGCTCTGGTGCTCGGTCCCAGCTCCTGCCAACCTAGCAGTTCGAAAGCCCATCAAAGTACAAGTAGATAAATAGGTACCGCTCCAGCGGGAAGGTAAACGGCGTTTCCATGCACTGCTCTGGTGTGATGGCTTGTGAATGCTCTTCGCAAGAAATGTCTCTGCTCACTCAGAGATACATATATACAGTCTTTATTTTACATATGTACAAGCAGCACGTTACAATCATGCATCCGAATCCTCTGGCTCAGATTCTGGGAGTGCCTTATGCCCACCCCTTCTCCGACAGAAAAGGCGTGAAAGTTTCACATGATGCCTCTGTCCCCTCCTCTTTAACACTCTCCTTTCTTTGGCAGACAGAATAGGCATTGTTTCACTGTCTGTGCCAGAACTTCTTGTGCGGTGTTGAGGCTCTGGTCCAACATCTGTGAGCTGTCCCTCCTCCTGGCTTTCCCTTCTTTCCTCCGTCACCACTTCCTGCTCCCCTTCCTCTGCCTGTCTCTGCTCCTCCCTTCATTCTCTGGCAATACCATGACATCTGGTTCACCAGAAGTGGCTTAGTCATGCTGGCCACATGAACCGGAAGCTGTACGCCGGCTCCCTCAGCCAATAAAGCGAGATGAGCGCTGCAACCCCAGAGTCGGTCGCGACTGGACCTAACAGTCAGGGGTCTCTTTACCTTTACCTAGGATTGCTATATATGCTTTCGATGTGCTTTAATTTTTAAAGAAGTTACACATTTTTAAAAGATTCTTTTTTGGTTGTTAGCCATCGGAGACGGGCTCCTGCCAACACACACACACACACACACACACACACACACACACACTTAAAATATGTACATACATACATATTTAGAGGGGGTTAAACTCTTGGGATTTGGCAGTCCATTGATGCAGTTATGGTACTGTATAACACAGTCTCCACTTCATCTTCAATTCTCCAAAGCAGCACAGGCCCTGGGTGAACACCTAGAACCCCCTGGAATCTTGCTATTACTCGGCAAAGACTGGGGGTGGCGCCCAATTTCTGTAACAATATATTACCCCATGCTATATGCCTGCACTTTCATCTTGCAGTGCTTCACTGGCCTGTGCAGAAGAGGAAGCACAGCGGGAGGGAAGTGTAACAGCCTGTGGTTTAGTCAGTCTGTGATTTCTACATAAGAGGAATCCACAATAAGGCTGCTGCTCAGCACTTGCTGATGTCTCAAAGGCATCAAAGCCTGCAATGGGTTTATGCCAATCCCTTCCCTCCTCTCACATCGATTTGCATGATTGCAGCCAACAGCAGTAACTGTCAAGTAGACGAGGCGCTTTTCTTTCTGGTAAGCAGAAAGGTAGCCTAGCAACTAATGGTCCTTTGACTCAGATGAAACTATTTATACGTGCTGTGGCCTTTGGTCAGTGCTCAAGAAATCACATGTTCTGTGCCACTGATATTTAGAGTGGGATAAGACATTTGCGGGATAAAGGTCCGTACAGTAAAAGCTATGGTTTTCCCAGTAGTGATGTATGGAAGTGAGAGCTGGACCAAAAAGAAGGCTGATCGCCGAAGAATTGATGCTTTTGAATTATGGTGCTGGAGGAGACTCTTGAGAGTCCCATGGACTGCAAGAAGATCAAACCGATCCATTCTGAAAGAAATCAGCCCTGAGTGCTCACTGGAAGGACAGATCCTGAAGCTGAGGCTCCAATACTTTGGCCACCTCATGAGAAGAGAAGACTCCCTGGAAAAGACCCTGATGTTGTGAAAGATGGAGGGCACAAGGAGAAGGGGACGACAGAGGATGAGATGGTTGGATAGTGTTCCCGAAGCTACCAGCATGAGTTTGACCAAACTGCGGGAGGCAGTGGAAGACAGAAGTGCCTGGCGTGCTTTGGTCCATGGGGTCACGAAGAGTCGGACATGACTAAACGGCTAGACAACAACAACAACAAGACATTCGCATATGTGTAAGCCCTCTTCAGACCATCTTCATCTGTTGGAGGCGCAAGGGGAGAAGGGGGCAGTGGGACTATGCTGCTGGCACCATCCCTTGCCATATGCCTGCTCAGCACAACATCTGCAAAGGGGTCCCAACTCTAGAGCAGCTTTGTGCCTGTAGGAGTTCTGTGTGATAAGAGACCCCTGATGGACTGGGGATCCTGATTATGTGGCATGCACAGAGCTACAAATTTCAAAGCATCCCATTTCAGATACACTGAACATGCACATGTTTAGAGAATGAAGCCAGAGGCCCATGTGCTGTCATGGGCAGTGCTAGCCACAGTCCCCCAATTATTTTTTATTGATTTTCCAGATTATTACAAATCATTACTGAATTAATTCAATTTAAAACAATTTCCAAAACTGGTTCTCCACTCTTATTACAAGGCCAGATTCTTCCTGTCCAGGAATGGCCATAGTTGGTGCACCAGCTATAGCTGGCAAAAGGCACTCCTACTGTAGACACTGAGGGCATCTGAGTGACAAAGATAGATCCGAACTCCATAGCTGTTATATCCAGAGTGCTGTCCCACCTGGATCATGTGCCAGTGTCTCAGACACGAAAACTACCAACCCGCGGTGCCTCTATCTCCCCAGGGTTCAAGTTTAGTTTATGGCCTTCCTCTGCTACAGCCAGACAATGGTCCAGATCATGTACAACCTCTTTCTCCTGATTCAGATTTTAAGGGGAAGTGGAGCTATGTGTCATTAGCATGCTGATGACATTTTGCCTCAGAAGTCTGAATGACCGCACCCAGTGGCTTCATATGGATGGACAGGGTCAACACCACAGAGATGTTAGATTAGGGACAAATTTGCACCCTGCGGTACACTACAGCACAGACACCGTGGAGCTGAAACACAATCTCCTAGTGCTACTCTCTGGACATGACCCTTAGTGGAACCACTGTTGAACAGTGCCCCCAGTACGCATCCCACAGAGCTGGTCCATGAGGATGCCATGCTCAGTAGTATCAAAAGCCGCTGAGTGACTGAGAAACAGAAGCAGAGCTGTACTCCTCCTGTCCCATTCTTGATAGAAGTCATGTATCAGGATGACCAAGGCTAGTTCACTCCCAAAACTGAACCCAGATTGAAATGGATCTAAAGAATTCATATTCTCCAGGAACTCCTGCAGTGTCTTACCCATCCCTCTGTCCACCACCTTACCCAAGATGCAGACAGGTAGGTGGGCATATTCTGGAATGGATGCATTACCTCCTGTTTAAGGGCAGTAGGCAACCCACCGTCATGTAAAGACACATTCACCACATTCTGGGTCCATCCAATCAACCTTTGGTGTCACAGCCCCTCCCCAAGCCCTGGAAAAAGCACATCTTGTAAGGTCACGATCACATGTGGGTCACGTGACTCACATGGGAGCCCGCCCCTGGAAGATACAGGACCCAGTTTTTTGCATGTCCCAGTTGGAGGGTATGAGAACCATGTTTGCCACCTGGAGCCACTTGGAGAAAAAGGCAGGATAAATAAATAAATAACTAAACAAACAAATAAGTAAACAAAATTTGCACCTGACCTGGCAGGGCTCCCTGCTGATGGACATCTCTTTTCAGGGGAGAGGAGCACTATTTAGATTTCCCACAATGCACTGCAGTGATACTGCATCAGGGGCACTGGAGGGTCATTTACATGGTGGCTCCAAGCTACCACAGTGCTCACCAGAGCAGCTTTGTAGCTGCTTTCCTCTGCTCCCCTCCTGCCACCAGCCTCATGAGCAAGGGGGTGGGGAGCTCTGAGAAGGGAGACGGCCTACCAGAGGATACCACACTGAGGATCCCTTCAATATGGAGCTGGCCCTGTCACTCCCATTCATTCATAATAATGTCTAATAACAGCCTCCCCCCCATGCATACAACTGCACATTTGGGGCTCTGGATTTCACGAAGGCAGACTCTCTCACACACAGCTGCAGGCACAGGTTTTAATTTATGGCTGTCCATGAACATCCAAAGGTAAAATGCTTTCATTTCCCCCCTACCCTTCTCTTTTTCCTCTCAGCATTCCCATAGCATCCGAAAGATTGGGATACTTCTGTGGAAGGGGACGGAAAGCAGGCAAACTGCATGCTATTATCTTCTGGTGCATGATGAACATGTGATATCCAAATGCTTGGAAGCCTGGCAGAAACTGTCAAATACCGGGGGCAGTGGGGACTGCCAGTGGTGGGATGAGGTCAATGGAGGACAGTGGGAAGTGTAACGGGTTGCTCCCTATTGTCTGCCTTGTCTCTGAATACAGAAAAAGCCAAGTACAAAGTGCGGAGACACACAGGCAAAAGCTAGTCCTCACGTGCAGCTTTGCAGAGGTGTGGGCATTGATAAAAGCAATAACTTGATTAATTCGTAAAATGAGAGGTGTTAATTCTAATTCAAAGGGATGTGGGTGGTGCTGTGGATTAAACCAGAGAGCCTAGGACTTGCTGATCAGAAGGTCAGCGGTTCGAATCCCCGCAATGGGGTGAGCTCCCATTGCTCGGTCCCTGCTCCTGCTAAACCTAGCAGTTTGAAAGCACGTCAAAGTGCAAGTAGATAAATAGGTACCACTCCAGCGGGAAGGTAAACAGCATTCCCGTGCGCTGCTCTGGTTCGCCAGAAGCGGCTTAGTCATGCTGGCCAAATGACCCGGAAGCTGTACGCCGGCTCCCTCGGCCAATAAAGCGAGATGAGCGCCGCAACCCCAGAGTCGGCCACGACTGGACCTGATGGTCAGGGGTCCCTTTACCTTTACCTAATTCTATCATTGCCCTAAATTTGAAATGTGCAGAAGCCTCAGTGAAGCACAGCATGCCCTCTGCACATCCTCAGAGGCACTTTCCAGGACCCAGAGTTATCTTCCCCCCTTTCCTTCCCATGTGATGAAGATGCAAAGGTTTAGTGATCTGATGGCTTTAGGGACAGATGAGATAAATTTATGAAGGTCAGGTACGTCAGTGGCTATTAACCTCATTAGCTGGGAAATGAGTTTCTTTATTCCAAGAGAATTAGACTATTAGACACTCCTTTTTCCAAGATGCTGGGAACCAAAGGATTCTCCATCATTCTCTGCTTCTCCTGATTGTGTGTGCTTGGGTGTGTGCTGGAGACGAGAGAATGCCAGACTGCATAGACCTTCGGTCTGATACAGCAGTTCTTATGCTTTTATGCACACTCTGTCTCCATTCACATTCATGATGTGGGCAGATCCACATACTCAAAGGAAATCTTTCATGGTTTTGCTCCCTTGGTCAAATTAACTGGAGAAGCTTTTGTGGGTAGAGGAGCTCTGCATGCCCATCTCAGTGACTAGAGTGGATTAGAATGACTATCCTTTTCTTAAAAATTAATAGATAGTGCAGAGACTTCAGCACGGAAAACTGGTCTATACATAAAATAGTACAACTGTTTTGACATGGCAAAGAAACTGAGCAGATAGCATTCATTCTCTAACATTATGCTTGTGCCCTTTCATGCAGTCATAGAGCCAAGATGCCTTTCAATGTGGGCCGGATTCTGCTTTCTTAGCAAACATGTACAACTTGCAGGTGCAGACACAGGACCAGAGGACGATCACCAACACCTTGTTCTTTGGTTCTTGTAATTGGGTGCATTATCAATGCCTGACATGATTTCAGATCATTTGGTGGGTACAAAAGTCATATGAAAAGTTATTGAAATTTTGGAATCGGGCACTTAGAATAAAAAATCATAGAGTAAATTAAATTGAAATCCAAGAAATAAAATTCTTCCATCACACTACAGAGCAAGTGATTTTATTTCTGTAGTAACTTTTCCTGGATAAAATGCACCTTTGCTTATCGGATTGGAATATACAATTGGACATTTGTAGTTTGTCAGTATCCATGCCATCAATTTAAGGATTTATTGAAAGATGAGAGCATCTCCAGCCACTGAATTTTCAATTGCTTGCACTTAATTCATAATATTTTATTCAAACCAAGAAGCCTAATTAGTTTGGTTTTTACAAAACCCAGAAAGCAGATAAACTAGCTGCAAAAGTAGAAATCTCCTGTCGAATATGAGGAAAATGTCAAACACAGTCAGTTTTGTCCGTAGAACTTACCTCTTTTGGTTAACCATTTCCGTAGCATACTGAAATGGCTGCCTTTAAAACAAACTGAAATAGACCCCCCTTTTAAAACCAACATGTGCGGATAGTCGAATTGAACAGTTTGACATGAAATTCACATGGTCTAAGAATTCCCACATGTAACATGAAACGTTCTGTCTGATGTGAATGAGAATGCAACAGCAACAGGCATATGAGCATGAATGAATATTAGCATTAACAACAAACAGCTTACCTTTCTGTTGATCAAACACTGATGAAGTACTAAAATCCATGGTTGCCTATTGCATTTCCCCCCTCACCTCTGCAATCGCCGTAGCAATAGCCCATATATTACACCAGTAAACAACGCATTCAATGATTGCTGCCGCCAGTCTTCCTTTCTGGATTAAATTTGCTTTATGGCTGCAGCTTATCAGAAAGGCAACCACACTCCAGTCATGTACGAAGAACAATATCTTCCATCTGTAAAAGACCCTATTCAAAATGTTGATTGGAAATGACCTAAGGTACCATCATTTCACAGGGAAAATAAACCATCTTTCATCCTGTGTCTGAGAAGGGCACTGCTGAGAATGCAGCGTCAGCTGCAAGAATGCCGTGCTTAAACTGAAGTCTCCGCAGATGAATGAGAATCCATCGCCCAGACAGAGCATGTGCAAAGCTTGCAGTGCCGTTTGCAAGCTGATGTTCTCATTACTCAGGTGAAACAGCATGTACTGGGGCAAAAAGAGTCAACACTCTCTCTCTGAATATTGCAAGGGTATATACCCTGCTGCCCATTAACAATACCCCCCCCAACTCTAAACACCTAGCAACCTGGGTTAATCAGCCCACAATCTTATGCATATTAACTTGGAAAAACCCCATTAGGTATATTTAGAATGGCAGTCTTTATATTATATTAAACATGCATTGTTTAATATACAGTGGTACCTCGGTACTTAATTCGTTCCGGAGGTCCGTTCTTAACCTGAAACTGTTCTTAACCTGAAGCACTATTTCTGGGTTAGCGGAGTCTGTAACCTGAAGCGTATGTAACCCGAGGTACCATTGTACATGAGTTTCAGGACTGTTGATTTCTAATATAGCTTGCCATGCGTTCAAACTGAAAGTTGAATGAAATGCAGAGGGTGGGATCCAATTGTAGGACTTTTGTTCTAGGAGACATCTCCATGAAAGCAAGAGGAGGGCAGGCAGTTTTTGCTGATGTCCACTTCTTGCTTAAATTTGCAATGTCCATTTCCGGCCCCTGTTATCAGTTCCAGAGATTTGGGCAAATACTCAGACCGGGGGGGGGGGTGTTGCATGGGGTGGGGGCTGCAGTGGGAAGGGAAAGGGGTGAAAATTAGCTCCCCTCCTCTTCTGCTAGCTGTGGGCAGCTGCTGGGGTCCAAGCATCCTGGCCTTGAAGCCTGCATTTACATCTGTCCTGGGCCCCACATAGAAACATGGACACCTGTCTTATATTGAGTCAGGCCACTGGCCCACCATGCTCAGTATAGCCTATTATAGCTTCCTTTAATTTCAATGCCACCTTTCATTTGAGGATCACAGGGCAGTTTACAACATAAAGACACAAAAAGCATAGAGTGAGAGACTAGAGTGATGTTCACTGTTTCCAGAAACTCTTCTCACTGTGAGATCTTGTGGGTGAGCTAAGAGTTTGTTTGGAGCCTGGGTGAGAACCTGGAGGCTGGGACTTCCGGAGGCGGCGCCATCGGCAATGGCGGATTCCCTCTAGTCTTAAGGGAGCAGCTCCGCGGAAATCGGGTCTTGCCGCTACGGCGAAGCAGGGACCCCCTCGAAAATCACAGGCGGGTGAAGCCTCTGACCGTGGGACTCGGTGGGCACCCTTAGCGCCCCCCCAATCTGCGAGGGAACCCTGGAAAGAGTTCCGGAGCGAAGCGGGGAGTCTGGCGCGGTGCTGAGAGTCAATTGCTTCTTCCGTGGAGTGAAGCCACGCAGCTGTTGCCGGAGAGCGCCGACCTTTTTCCTGTGACAATTCGGCTAAGAAACAACTACCCATGAGTAGGTTAAGTCTGAAGATCGGGGAACTTAAGGGGGAAAAAAGGATTAATTCGGCACTGAAGCGGGAAGGTGTAAACAGGAAGTCCACCTTCCTTTTATGTAAATAGATCAAAGCAAAGACTGTCAAAGCAAAGAGCCTGAAAATTACGTTGAAAAAGACTCAAATCCTACATCAACAAAAAGAGAACTCCCTCCCTGTGGTGCGGGAGAGGGGAGGGAGAAGGGGAAGTATCTTTTGCCCGCAAAAGAAGAGAGAAAGGGAACTAAGACCATCACTTAATGCCTGGGAACGGACTATCAAGGGACATTGAAACTGCCGTATTGGGAAATGCGCTGTCAAAGGATAATGCAACTTTTTGACAGCTAGCTCTGTAAGAGGGATACTTTGATTCTGAAAAGTCCCACTTGACTTGAAACTGTTGCTTTTTTTTTGGCTAAAGGGGGGATTTTTGAAAGTTGGAATAGCTATTTTATTGTTACAAATTGGAACTGCTATTGTGTCCCCCTAGAGGAACTTTAAAATTGCTACAATTGGCCAGGGAATTTTCCACTCCAAACTGGCCATACTAAAGGGGAATTTTCCATTACAAACAAGTAATCGTGGGACTGACCTTGATCCTTAGATAAAGTGTTATGGCAGACTTGACTCAGGAAAAAACAACAAGATCTGGTAAAATTAGACTGCAGCAGCGTAGACCGTCAGCACCCGGCCTCCCTGCCCCACCAGGGGAAGATTCAGCCCAGGTGGTGTCTAAACTAATGGCAGCTGAAGGGGGCTTAGCTTCAGCTTTAGATAAAATTTTTGAATCTTTGGAAAAGTTGAGCAAACAAGTGGCTGAAGCGACAACTAAAATTGATCAAAATACCACAAGCATCAATAACTTGGGGCAGAAGGTGAACTCAAATACAGAATCTATTGAGAAACTGCTGCAGGAATCTACTTCGAATTGAAAAACAGCTGAAGAAGCTAAAGAAAAAGCACTGGCTGTGGAGGAAAAGATAGAGGAAAAGATACCACCGATATGTAGGCAGCTGGAGGATCATAAGTCATTGCTGTCTATGATCGAATTAAAAGAAAAACAGATAAATCTAAGGATCAGGGCTGTACCTGAACTTGAGAAGGACAACTTGAGTGACTTTCTTACGCAGGAATTTACAGACTTTTGGGACTTAGACCCAGACAAGTTAGACTTCAAGATAGTAAGTGCTTTCAGACTTGGAAGAGGGGGGAGAAAGAACAGGGTGAGAGACTGTTTGATTACCCTCTGATCAAGAGAGGAGAGAGACAGAATACTGAGCCTGCACTTCCAGAAGACCTTGGAAATAAAGGAATCAAGAGTGGAGATATTTAAGGATATCCCTAAACATCTTTTGGATCTTAGGTCCAACTACGGAGACTTGGTGGCCCTGCTAAAAGCAAACAGAACCATTTTTAGGTGGGAATTCCCTCAAGGCCTATCTTTTACTTTTAAAGGGGAAAAGTTTAAAATAAGATCAGTGGAAGACAAAGAAAAATTTCTGAAAGATCACGAAGAAGATTTGCAAAAAGAAACTGAAAAAGAGCCAAGAGCTTTAAAACCAGGAACACAGGACATAGTATCACTACCTTTGGGATTGGACAAGTTAGAGAAGGTGATACTACCAACAGAACAAGAACAATTACTTGGTGCAGTTGGAGGAAAAGTAAAATAAATACACCATGTCCCTGCAACTATTAAGTTGGAATATTCATGGATTTAATTCCCCGGAGAAAAGGAAAAAAGTCTTTCATTTATTGAAAAAGGAACAATTGGACTTGATTTGTTTGCAGGAAACACATGTGATAAGGCTCCATAGGAAAGTATTGATTAATAAAAGACTGGGTCAGGAGTTTATTTCATCGGACAAGGTTAAAAAGAGAGGAGTTGTAATTTACGCGAAAGAGAGCCTATCACGGAAATTTATTTTTAAAGATGATCAAGGAAGATATGTGGCAATTGAAATCCAAACACAAGGAGAAAAATTTCTGATAGTAGGAGTATATGCACCAAATGAGGAGAAATCTGAATTTTTTAAGAAGTTGCATGAGACATTGTTAGACTATATGGATTACAACATTATCATGATGGGAGATATGAATGGAGTGGTATCCACAAACATGGACAAGTCGCAGAGACAGGTAGTTACCAAAGATGGCAGACTGCCAAAAACTTTTTTTGAGATGACTGACAATATGGATTTGATTGACATTTGGACAATAAAGAATCCCTTGGCTAGGGAGGGAACCTTCTTCTCTGAAGCCAAAATGACATGGACAAGAATTGACCAAATCTGGATTACTAGAGGACTGGCACCTAAGACTCGAAAAGTGGAAATTTGCCCTAAAACCTGCTCCGACCATAATGCTGTGAAAATGGAGATGAAATTAACACCTACCGGCTCCTTCAGATGGAGGATGAATGACACCTTGTTTAGAGATCAAGAAGTTACCAAGAAGGCCCAAAAACCTTGAGAGACTACTTTGAGATAAATTTGAACACTACAATTGAAAAAAGAGTAATCTGGGACGCAAGCAAAGCAGTTATGAGAGGGTTTCTAATTCAACAGAATGCAATAAAGAAGAGAACTCAAAATGAGAAAAAAGATAAAATTTTGGAAAAAATAAAAGAGGGGGAGAAGAAACTGAGAGCGAAACCAAAATCACAAGAGATTCTGAGAGAAATAAAGTTATACCAAGTTCAATATATGAAGATGATGAATCAGGAAATAGAATGGAAAATTAAACAGATGAAACAAAGGACATTTGAATTGGCTAATAAATGTGGAAAACTGTTAGCTTGGCAAATGAAAAAAAGACAAAAACTTAACACCATTACCAACTTGGAAGTGGAAGGAAAGATCATCCAGAATCCAGTGGAAATTAGAAAATGCTTCCAGAGGTACTTTAAACAGCTATATACACAAGGGCCACAGAAAGAGTGTGATTTAGACAAATTTTTAAAAACAAATGGACTTCAAAAAATCTCCCAAGAAAATAAGTTAATGTTGAACTACAAAATAACAGAACAGGAGGTGGAAGGTGCCATTCAGAACATGCAGTTGGGCAAATCTCCAGGGCCAGATGGCTTAACCTCAAAATATTATAGGTCCTTGAAGGATTGGATAATTCAACCATTAAAGGAGGTTTGTAATGAAATTTTGGAGGGGAAAAAAGCACTAGAGTCGTGGAAGGAAGCATATATTACATTAATACCGAAAAATGAGTATGAAAAGACACAACTTAAGAACTACCGCCCCATATCCCTGCTTAATGTGGATTATAAAATTTTTGCAGATATTTTGGCTAAAAGGTTAAAAAAAGTATTAGTGGAGGAGATACATAAAGACCAAGCTGGCTTTCTCCCGGGTAGACACTTGTCTGACAATACGAGGAATATAATCAACATTTTGGAGATGCTACAAGTGAATATTAATACTAAAGCTGTTTTAATTTTTGTAGATGCGGAGAAAGCCTTTGATAATATTTCTTGGAGTTTCATGAAGAAAAATCTTCAGGGTATGGGGGTTGGTCAAGGGTTTGAAAATGGTATAAGTGCAATTTACTCAGAACAAAAGGCCAAACTAATAGTTAACAATGTGGTGACAGAGGAATTCAAGATAGAGAAAGGGACACGACAAGGCTGCCCAATTTCCCCATTGCTGTTTATTTTGGTCCTGGAGGTTTTGCTAAATATGATCAGAAGGGACCATCTGATTAAAGGTATACAGGTCGGAGCTAAACAGTACAAATTGAAAGCTTTTGCAGATGATCTAGTATTGACGTTACAGGAGCCAGAATCTAGTACTAAAAGAGTATTAGAATTGATTCAGGAATTTGGTCATGTGGCAGGATTTAAGTTGAACAAGTTAAAAACTAAGGTGCTTGAGAAAAATTTAACACCGATTGAGAAAGAGAGGCTTCAGAAGGAGACAGGTTTAACACTGATTAAGAAAGTAAAATATTTGGGGGTTAATATGACTGCTAAGAACCTAAACCTATTTAAAGACAATTATGAGAAATGTTGGTCAGAAGTGAAAAAGGATTTAGAGATATGGTCAAACTTGAACCTTTCCTTGTTAGGTCGAATTGCTGTTATAAAGATGAATGTATTGCCAAGAATGTTATTTCTGTTTCAATCATTGCAAATTTTGGACAAAATAGACTGTTTCAAGAAGTGGCAGAGAGACATTTCTAGATTTGTTTGGCAGGGCAAGAAGCCTAGAATAAAATTTAAAATATTAACCGATGCAAAGGATAGAGGTGGATTCGCCCTGCCAGACCTTAAACTTTATTATGAATCAGCAGCATTCTGCTGGTTGAAAGAATGGCTGCTTCTTGAGAACACAGACATTTTGGATTTAGAAGGTTTTAATAATGTTTTTGGGTGGCATGCATATTTGTGGTATGACAAGGTTAAAGCACATAAAGCATTTAAAAACCATATTGTCAGGAAAGCATTGTTAAATGTCTGGATAAGATATAAGGACTTACTTGAAAACAAAACCCCAAGGTGGTTGTCACCGATGGAAGCAAAGGCTCAGAAAAGGCTCAATATGGAGGCCAAATGGCCGAAATATTGGGAAATTCTGGAACAAGAAGGAGACAAATTGAAATTGCAGAGTTTTGAGAAATTAAAAGACAAAGTGCGAGACTGGCTTCATTATTATCAGATAATGGAGGCATACAATTTGGATAAGAAAATTGGCTTCCAGGTGGAAAAATCAAAATTGGAAACAGAACTGTTAGAACCCAAAACTAAGATTTTGTCAAAAATGTGTAACTTGCTGTTGAAATGGAATACTCAGGATGAAACGGTGAAATCTGCTATGATTAAATGGGCACAAGATCTTGGACATAATATTATGTTTGCTGACTGGGAACAGTTGTGGACCACAGGTATGAAGTTTACGGCATGTAATGCCCTAAGAGAGAATATTATGAAAATGATATACAGGTGGTACATGACACCAGTCAAGCTTGCATAAATTTACCATTTGCCCGATAATAAATGTTGGAAATGTAAAGAAAATGAAGGTACATTCTTTCACCTTTGGTGGACGTGCCCAAGGATTAAGGCTTTCTGGGAAATGATATATAATGAATTGAAAAAGGTATTTAAATATACCTTCTTGAAGAAACCAGAGGCCTTTCTCCTAGGCATAGTCAGCCAATTGGTGCCAAAGAAGGACAGAACTTTTTTTATGTATGCCACAACAGCAGCAAGAATTCTTATTGCAAAGTATTGGAAGACACAAGATCTACCCACCTTGGAAGAATGGCAGATGAAGGTGATGGAATATATGGAATTGGCGGAAATGACTGGCAGAATCCGAGACCAGGGAGAAGAGTCGATGGAAGAAGATTGGAAAAAGTTTAAAGACTATTTACAGAAATATTGCAAAATTAATGAATGTTAGAATGATGTTGGATAGAAACTAAGTGGTCTTTAGCTGAAATGTTATAAGGGAATATGAAAAAATGGTTTATTAATAGGTAAAAATCTAAAATTACAATAGTTTATGATTAATGATTAGGATACATAAAGAGGGGAGGGATTTGTTGAACCAATAACTGAACTGGAATACAAAAAAGGGAGATGTGAGGAGGTCCTGGAAATAAGCAAATGAAGGATAAGTAATGGAAGGAATGAATTGTTTTTAACTATTTTTACTTTGTATTTTTTCTCTTTTCTTTTTTTTGTCTTGTAATATTCTGAAAATCTTAATAAATATCTTATAAAAAAAAAAAGAGAACCTGGAGGCTGAGAGGGAGAGTGCATCAGAAGGAAAAGGAATTGATATTGATTTATATATTTAAATGCATTAATGTAACATTTCTATATGTAACTGTGTGTTATTGTAATATTTTTTGAAGTTATCTGTTGCTGCTTCAGTTTTTTTGTATACTGCTCAGAGATCTTTTTAATATACTAAGTGGTATAGAAATTAAACACTCAATCAATCACCAGACGAGCCTCGCTGGGAAGAGCGTTCCACAAGTGGGGAGCCATTGCAGAAAAGGCCTGCTCCCCTCCAACATTTCTCCGATGAAAATATGGATGTCCTATTCAATGTTGTTGTTGTTTATATCCTGCCCATCTGACTAGGTTGCCCCAGCCACTCTGGATGGCTTCCAACACACATAAAATGCTAAATATTAAAAAAACCTTCCCTATACAGGGCTGCCTTCAGATGTCTTCTAAATATTGTATAGTTGCTTATCTTTTTGGCTTGGGGGGTGGTGGTGTCACATAACTCCTTACCGACCAACATTTCTCCAATGAAAATAGGGCCATCCTAAGGAAAAGTGTCACATCCCAGGATTAAATCAGAAACTTCTGTAAATCTGTGACTGTCCCTGGAAAATAGGGACAGTTGGACACCTCACTGATGCTCATACCAAGGTGACGGGGAGGGTTGTGAGGTGACAGGAAGGAGGTTTGGGGTTTGGTGAGGCATGTGCTGGGAACAAGAAAGGAGAACAAAGGCCAGTCACCACCAGTGGTAGGGAAACTCATTGAGAAGTGTGGGATGAAGACATGTAAACACCCCACAGACAAATCAGGATGAATGCTGATTGTCCAGTAACTGTTCTGTAAACAAAGCGGAATGAATGCTCATTAAAGAACAGGTGCAAGATTCCTCCAGCCATCCTTTTTATTGTGACTGCATTATGATTTGTTCTCATGATGGTATCAGAGCAGTTGAATGTGCTTCCCCTTTCAATACTGTTTGCACCCACGCAAGTTTTGGGCTAGACATACAGCTTAGTTTCTAATCTCTGCATCTCCTGTAGCTTCCTGATGAAATTATTCAACGTTTCATTCCACAAATCTTTGGGGGTTTTTTGTCCTGCTTTTGGTGCTCTATATATATAGTGCAAGGGTGCCCTATCAGGTGGTAGAGATATGCTAACACTGGGAAACATCACAGAACAATTAATAATGTTGAATGATGTGTGGGGAGACGATTAAAAGTGAAAAACAACCCCATTTAAGGTACAAGGAGGGCTCTGATAGGTACAGTGAAAACGGGTTGAGTGAAGTTGCATTTCAAGGAGTGTGACTGGATGATGAGATGGTCGAGTGATGCGGTGGCAGAAGGTGATTGGCCAGAGGATGAAACAGCCAAGGTGACATATATTTGCCTATATAACTTGTGTTCTAATGGAAAGCCCTCATAGACCCTTTGGATTCTGTCCTGTAATGCATTACTGAATAAAGTCTGACCAGCTGAGAATTTGGTGTGAGCCTCTGTACTTGAACCCGCAAGACAAATTTTTCCCACAGGTTACTTGGTACACCTTTGAAACCCCTCCCCTTGATTAGGTTATCCACACCTTTCCCTTCATGCACCAGGTGAATCAAGAAGCTTGTGGTGACTGCAGTCTCAGTAATATGTCTTCCAAAAACACCACTGGGTAGTGACTGGGACCATCTACAACTGTTTTCAAATAGACACACGGCAGGATAATGTGGAACCAATCTGCTATTAGCTTTTATTTTTTTGATTGAAGCAAGTTTCTCATGAAGCATTTTTCAAGGGCAGAAATCATGCGGCAGATTGTGTGGATTACAAAGGAAAAACAAGTACTTGGTCTCCATTGATTTTGGAATAAAAATGGTGCATGTACTTAGGGTGGGTGTATGGAGCCAGGCAGTGATCCTTGGATGAAGATTGGAGCGCTTCGAGTATGTCTCCATCTTCATCTATGAAAGGTGGAGAGCATAATTTAGTAATCCTCACAAATGCAGTAGCAATGTATTAACATAACTTGCCTTTGAATCTTAGAATGAGGAACTCTGAGTGTAATGGGCTTTATGAAAAGCATTTCACTTACCACTTTAAAAAAGAAAATGTTGCATAAGTTGTTGTTGTCTTTTTAAAAATCCTTTGTATTTTTTCCAGAGGGAAAAAGCCTATTAAAAGAGTGGGGGTTTTTTGGGCTTGCAGTAGGGGGCTGAGTGAGTTGGATCACGACTAAGCACTATTCATTTAAATAGAACTAAAGCATGATTTAATCTTGATAGCATGTCATGTATTGCCCTCAGTCTTGCAGGCCTTCACACAGCTTGGCTTTCTTGTCTCTTTACTGCTGATAAAGTGGTACTGGTTGGTACCAGGTTTTGTTTTGTTTTTGTCTTTGAAGAGTTAGCAGTCTTGTGACATCACCTGCACACCCCTCCACCCCTGCGTGAGCCTCAAGAACTGAGATGCTGTTGCCCTGGCAACCCTAAGTGATGTCATGAGTGATTTACTCCCCCCCAACCCATTTATGTAGTACTAAATAATGAACCTGCTTTGCAAAATCACTTGGAAATAAAGGGTGAAATGCCACATGAAGCAGCTGTGAAACACGAGCCATTCATTTCCTCCTCCACCTTTTTCCTGCCTGGATTGCTTCAGTCCCTTTCCCGGAAGCAGCCTGGAATCTTCTCCTGAATGTTTTGCCGTCTTACAAGTGATATGCAGTGCAGCAGCAGTCCCTGAGTCACCTGCAAAACCCTTTGCACTTCTTCTAGGCTAGGAACACAGAATGCTGCTTTATGCTGAGCAGACTGTTGGTCTATCTAGTGCTCTGACACAGACTGGCATCAGCTCTCCAGGTTTTCAGACAAGGAGTAATTTTTAAAATACCTTTCCTTATTTCTGGGAGGTGGTGTCTTGATGTGTTGGAGCTGAGAGTACCTCTTCAGCAGCTTAAGGAGATAGAGAAAGTGGGGAAATGAGAGTTAGAACAGAGGAACGGGGATGGGGTGGGGGTGGGTTTGAATACACAAGAAGTGTTCCTGGGTGGAAAGAATGAGGTTTCTTCAGGGATTCTCAAAATCCCTGGTTGCTAAGGCAAAATGCCGCTGGTTTATATGCCCCAGGGGTGTGTGGTGGAGTTGAATGATTAAAACAAAAGCAAAGGGTAACAATCCCATTTTCCAGTCTCGTTTTAGGATGTGTATGCCTGGATTAAGAAGCCATATCAAAAGGAAAGCAAAAAAATTAGCAGTAACTGGGACCATACCTGTTGGTTCCTTCCAAGCCAGGGGCTTACTTTTCCAATTTAACAAGCATTTCCAAGAAGGAGCAGAGGAAGCAAAAGGATTAAGTTGAAAACAATGGGAATACCACAGATATGCTGACAGTATATAGGCAGTATTTCAGAGTTCATTTGGCTATGGCTCAGGCTACTCCGATGTCTTTCAGTGGCTGGAATTGAAGAATTGCAGCCTCCATGATATTCCCTGCACAGGTTATCTGTGTTCAAAAATAGTAACAGAGAGAGATGGGATGGGAACTGCGCCTATAACTATTTGATTGTTTTAGTCATTGTATATCACATTTCCTTTACCAGGTATCTGGTTAAATTGAAAAGTTTAATTGTTGTCCTCACTGCTATCTAATTTTATGATGGAGTTGTTCATCTATTTCTCGTATGTACTGGACTTTTTATGCCATTTAATTTTTTTTATTAATCTTTATTTTCATTTAGATTTTTGTTATTTGATTTCATTGCATTGTATTTGGTGCTAGTCCTACTCATTGTAGGTCCATTGAAATTGATGGTCATGACTAACTTAGGTCCATTACTTTCAATGGGTCTACTGTGAGTAAATTTAGCTGGATTCATTCCATCTTCAGCAGCTCTGGGACTGAAATATTCAGTGATGATGAATAATGGATTACACTAATACTAACATTAATAATATTAAGAAGTGAGACTGGACAGTGGCAGGATGAAAATCTCCTTTTGATTTGAAGCATTACATGGGATAGATTATTGCTGCCTATCCCATGTCTTTGGGACACGTTGGGCTATCAATCTGAATGAAGGACATCAATCTCAAATTTTCAAAAATGTTTTGAATGGATGGGATATGTGCACCCGATACTTAGTTGTCTCGAATCAGAGACAATCTGCTTCTAAATGTTTCTGAAGAACACATAAAAATATATCAACCTTCAGTAAACAGAGTTAAAAAATTAAAGAGACTGTAGGGCATTCATCTATAATTTGTATATAGCAATTGAGTTTTCATTACACAGCTGGCATCTGGTCTCTCATCTGCAAGAGGAACAGGATCTGATTCCTCTTTGGATTTCACTTCCTAATTTTTCAACGATGCTTTGAAGAATGTTGAAAGGATGCATGTTCCCAGTTGAATTTCTAAGGTTTTGTAATCGTAGACAGTGTTGCAACACTCTCTTTAAGTGAACCACTGTGCTTGAGCTATGGGTAAGCAAACCAGAGAAGGCTTTGTCCCAAATAAGAAACGAAACAGAGCGAACAGCCAAAGTAGTTAGATCTCGACACTGTTTATGTGTATTAACTAATATGGAAAGTTCCCTGCATAGCAAAGGGAACAAACATCTTATAGGATTGTTGCAGCAAGATTGTGTTATGCAAAATATTGGAGAAAAGGCTCAAATCCATTTATCATGGATGCTTCAGTTGAGACTCCTGAATAGCAGGGGGTTAAACTAGATGACCCTCAGGGTCCCTTCCAACTGTACAATTCTACGATTAAGTCAGTCATAACAGAATGGAAAGCAAATCCGCTCCACTTCCCAGTGGGGAGGAGTTGCGGTGGACCACATGGCCACCCACTCCCCTCTGGGGGTGGGGGATGAAGTCCTGCATCACCCGGAGGTTTCTGGCGATGTCATTGTCCAGCCAGCCAATCTGCTGGCTGGGGAGGCGTGCCGGGCCCCATTTAAACTGACACATGAGCTGGAGAGCTTCCTCTTGGCTCGCTTACTCAATCTCCCTCCCTCCCTCCCTAATTTTCAGGTTTCAACATTTCCATTGCTATGGACCTTAGTTGGTCGCCATTGAGGGGCCTGGTAGGAATGTTTCCACTCGGCAAATTGGCATGGGCCATTTGGTTTTCACCTACCTCATAGCAATCATCACAACTTTGCAAGGTTTGGTGGTTAGGCATTGGTTGAACTTATGTTGAGGGAGGGTGTGTGTGGCCATCACATGCTCCTCCAAGCTTAAGGGTATTCCATTAAAGGAATCTGGGCGTGTGGATCTTGACCGAAGCCTGGGGTGGGGCTAGGGCCATGCCACGACCCTGTTGGGAACCCTGGGGGAGCTCGAGTTGGTTTGTAGTGACGGGGCTTTCCCTATCAATGGTTGACCCTTACAGGACTCCCTGCGTGATGGGCAGGAGTCTGATATAGTCGGGTCAATTCCAGTGCCTAAGCCAATACTGCTCACATTCTGTAACCAATAAAGTTGTGGCCTAAATTTGCCCAATAACATTAACCTAATATCTGTCTCCTTGTTTCTTATTCATCAACAAGGGGGTGGTTTCAGGGTCTCGACACACAAAAAGGTATGAATTGGCAAAGCTTATAAGCTGTTTAAGCTTACAAGCTGTGTAAAGGTTTGTTGTGAGCTATGTAAGATTAGACAGTAGACTAGAGGGACTAGGGTGAGTGGGGTGCAGATTGCACACTTCTGAACTAGAGAAACGGCAGGAAAGACATGCTTCTTGGAGACTATAAAGGCGACTATAAAGGGATGTGTGTGGCATTGTGGTCTATACCACTGAGCCTCTTGGGCTTGCCGATCAGAAGGTTGGTGGTTCGAATCCCTGCAATGGGGTGAATTCCTGTTGCTCAGTCCCGGCTCCTGCCAATCTAGCAGTTTGAAAGCACACCAGTGCAAGTAGATAAATAGGTACCGCTGTGGCGGGAAGGTAAATGGCATTTGCATTAACTCTGCTGTCTGTCATGGTGTTCTGTTGCACCAGAAGCGGTTTAGTCATGCTGGCCACATGACCCAGAAAGCTGTCTGTGGACAAACGCTGGCTCCCTCAGCCTGAAAGCGAGTTGAGCGCCACAACCCCATAGTCGCCTTTGACTAAACCTAACTGTCCAGGGGTCCTTTACCTTTCTTACCTTGGAGACTATTCATACTAACAGGAGAATGTGCTTACTGGCTGGAGAATGTACAAATTTCAGTCATGATAGCTGCAATATGAAACGTTTACACACTGGAGGAAAATATATCTCACATTTTTATGTATGAAATAAAACCTGAATTAGAAAGATCACGAACTCCTGTCTGCTACTTGGCAATCACAGCCACACTAATATACTAGATAGCCAAACTGCTTTCTGTGGGGCAGAAATTACATCTCCACCAAGGAAGACCATCATAAAATAAAACCAAGAGTGTAGATAATGGAGTTTGGGCCTCTTGGCCTAATTGGCTACATCTGCTTTCCTAAATCTCAGGCAAAACAAATGAGGAGAATTTTGGGATTATAGCTCATCCAAAAGAAGTCAGTTGCGCTCTTACTTCCCCTGCAGACACAGCCTTCATGACTAGAAGCCACTGATGCTCTTCTTTCTTCCTCCAGCCTTAGTTGTCAATGGACTTCAACCATGTAAATGTTTAGCTATTGATTTCCTGGGGTGCTAATTTGCTCCACAGGAATAACTGGCTAATGGTTCTCATGCCTCATTTATCAATAGGTCCCATGGAAGGCTTTGCCTCCATGCAAAAATTGTGCCTGGGCTTTCCACCTGTTTTTGTTGCAAATTTTTGGAAGTACTACTGATTTGACAAGCTTTGCTTCAAAGTTCTATAATGTGTGCAATGCTCTAGAATTCCAAGAGATGGCAGACTTTGATTGGCATAAGTTTTCAGTCCTGAAGAACAGCAATACAGTGGTACCTTGGGTTACAGACCATTGACTCTTCAGGTTATAGACTCCGCTAAGCCAGAAATAGTACCTCAGGTTAAGAACTTTGCTTCAGGATGAGAACAGAAATTGTGCGGCAGCGGCATGGCAGCAGCCCCATTAGCTAAAGTGGTACCTCAGGTTAAGAACAGTTTCAGATTAAGAACGGACCTGCAGAGAGAATTAAGTTCTTAACCCGAGGTACCACTGTAGTGGCCAAATGAGCTGGTCAGAATAATGTTTCTATTATAGCAAGTAATTCTGAAAAATTATGAGAGGCTCCACCAGTCATTTGGTATGTGATACACTGTAACAGTTTACAGCAACTAGGGAAACAGTCCAAAAGAGGATTTAGGAAACCAAATTCTACAAATTTAGCTTTTAGGAAAGCTAAACATGTAGCAACCGCACATACTGAACTGATCAACTTTATAAGAGTCTTAAAATAAAAGCTTTTTCAATTGTCTTGGTGTTAAAACTAATCTCTTGATCAAAGATTATTATTAACTTCCCCAAACTGTACAAGTTACTTATGCATCTGAGTATCATGCAAATGATATGGGGCCAATGCTATTAAATTTTATTCTATTATTTGCAAAGTCAATAGCTGAATATTAGATTGGAATTTTGCTTGGTTTGTTTCTTTGGTTTACTGAATGTATGTATGAACAAAAATCCCAAAGCACATTACATAAGAATAAAATGCTGTAATAAAAATACATAAACATTTTAAAACAGAAAATAAAATCATCCATTAATAAATAAATACATTATCTATAGCTCCTCATGGTTTCCATATTCCTCAGGCAGCTATTGATAGGTATCTTTGCACATTGTCATTAGATGCATATAAAATAAAGTTCCACCAGATGGCATAAAAGGTCTGCTCTTTGCTACTTTTTTGCTTCTCTTTGATATCCTAAAAGATATATATATTGCAGTGCTGAACTCTGAGACAATGTATTCTCAACTGTTTTTCATGCACTGACACCTAAATTGCCAGTATGCTTATGTACACAGATTTCAAAAATTGCATGGGTTTTTGTTGTTGTTGTTAAACAGAGTGGGGAGGGTAGTTTTCTCCTTCATTTTTGCACTGTTCTTGCTTTGTTATACAATTATTAAAATTTCAGTGCAAGTAGGAAAGACAAACATAAGGTTAGTGTTCAAATTATGAGGAAGGTGTGTGTGTGTGTGTGTGTGTGTGTGTGTGTGTGTTTGTGTGTGTATAGAAACCCCATCCTCACAGAGGAGTGGTGAATACAGCACATTATATCATGGGCTGTCCCTTGAGTCTGCTGGATGACATCGCAAGGGATCGTTGCCTTAGGAGAGCAAGAAAAATTCTCAGGGATGACTCACACCCCGGCCATCACCTCTTTAACCTTCTACCCTTGGGCAGAAGATATAGAAATATAATCAGCTGTACCAACAGGGTAAAAAATAGCTTCTATCCATGGGCTGTTAGGCTGTTGAATGGAAAATAACCATAGCGAAATTGACTTGCGAGGTGGTGTGTTGTTCGATAAGAGATTGAGTGTTTCGGGGGGGGGGGGCTTGTTTAATTTCATTGCACACAGGTTGTACAATGACAATAAAGGTATTATTATTATTATTCAGATTCTCCACCCCTCCCCAAAGGCTTCTTATAACAATAGGTGAGAGGAATCATCAAGGCAGGTGATGCTCCTTCTATATGACTGGTCTGTATAATCATACCACATATGAACTTTTTCAATTGAACTGAGGATGACCATATACCTGAGCTAATGGAGTGCTTTTTAATTGTTTTCAAAAAGAGCAACTCACCTAGATGAATAATTCACCTATAAACATGAAAAATAAGGTATCAAAGTTTATCCCAGTGAAGACAGACAAGGAATTGTTTATTTATATTTATTTATTTATTTAAAAGTATTCATTGAAAGAATGTACAGTAATCTGAAAAAAAGCAATTAAAGCAAGGCACAATATATTAAGAGCTTCAAGAGAGACATTTGGGTCTGTTCAGCATTCTCTGCTATAGGATGCTATGGTGGCCAGATGATATCTCAGCAATCAACAGGTATTTCCTCCCCTGTCTGTTCCTTTTTAAAACAAAGATTTAGGGTGGCCAGAAATGGTCAGTCAAATCCAGATGGTTCTTCCCAGCTTGACAAATGAGCTAGGACTTTCACTGAGGAGCAGTGATAAGTCCTAAGGCTGTACACTAAATTGGGCTGAGTTAAATCAGGCCTGTTCAGAGGGATCCAGACATTGGTTGTGTAAGGTTGAGACAGCCTCAGATCGCCATGGGTTGGGTGGTCCAGAGTGATCAGGAATGTTCAATGGGTGGGGCATCAGGCAGGAAGGAGAAGTAGCTGTAGATAGGAAGAAGGAGAAACTGTGAAGAAGGAGGACTTGGAGAAGAGCAACAAAGATCACCAAGAATCTGGAAACCAAGCCTTATGACAAACGGCTGAGGGAGCTGGGTATGTTTAATCTGGAAGAGCTATGATAGCCATCTTCAAATATCTGAAGGGTTGCCACATGGAAGATGGAGCAAGCTTGTTTTCTCCTGCTCCAGCTCCTGTCCCAAGTATCATGTGACTAGCATTGCTCTGCCTCTCCTATGTTTAGTAGGTCTAATAAATTATAAGTGTTGGTCACAGTATGAATGTACATACAGACTTATTGACACAGATGTTGCTGAAGTGGCCGGAATGGTCTCTGAACACAGAGTACCTTAATCACTGTTTTCAAAAGATCCCACAAACATAAAATACACTGAGAATTTCGGGGGATGGACAGAGCCCAGCTCTTCCTAACAAAACTGTATTTTAGTCACATGTTATCAGTCATTGGTAGACTGGACATTTTAATCAGGCTTCTAGCATCTAATGAGATTATCTGGATAATACTGCTTGTTAATTAGAAGGGCTCCTGCAACTGAAGTCTAAGGGATTGGGAAGAAAGAACAAATAGCACACTCATAACATGTTTAGGACCTAAATGAAAATACTGAAATGATATGTGAGAATGTTTTTCAAACCAAATTATTGTACAGTGGAAGTTCACACTCACCCTGTCAACAAAATCAAAATTGGTATTAATATTGACTATGGAAGGAAAGTTCGATTATAGGAGATACAATTGCTGAATAAGCTCACTTCCAGACATGTTGAGTGAGAACGCATCCTGATTTGTTTGCACAAAGTTTGCTAGGAAGTTAGCGGTCTGAGTGCTAAGCTGTGCATGCTTCCTGCATAATCACCATCTCCATCATTATTACTTTTATTTATACCTCACCTTTTCCCATGACAACTGAACTTTATGAAGGGAGGACAGGAAAAGCATTGAAGTCACCCATCATCAGTGAGTACCTCAGCAAGCACACAGGTCACAGTCTTCCCCACTATTGTGAGATGTATTTCGGTTTAGATTACAGCTATTATTTCTAAGTTTGCATCTCTGCCAGAACTACAGAAACTGCTCAAAGCAAAGAGGAGAAGGCAGATCAGATCTGTCAAGGCAGAAATGGAAGTCAGTGGACCCAAACATGCAGCTTAACTATATGGCTATCACCCACACTATACTTTAAAGCACATGGTCTCCCCAAAAGAATCCTGGGACCTATAGTTTACCCCTCACAAAACTACAGTTCACAGAACCCTTAAAAACTATAGTTCCCAGGATTCTTGCCGGAGGCCATGTGCTCTAAATGTGCTTTCAATGTACATTGTGGATGTGACCATAGTTAGGATGCTCCCTAGTATGCTGTGATAGGTGTCTATACTCCAGTTTGAAAGGAAGGGGGCACTAGTACAAAATTTGGAAGCCTGGGGGGGGGGGGGAGGAATTGAGTAGAAAAGCTGTAGGGAAGAAGTGTGCTATTTAAAAGCAAGCAGGAAAGTCCTGTCAAGAAATATACTGTAAGGAAGTTTCACAACCTGATGAAGATGCCCTTGGTCTCTCTCCAGATTTCCTGCAGTTTATGTGATCACATACACAAGGAAGTGTGCTCCAGAGGGATATACTGTCATGTAAAAACACCGGCAAAAGCAGTTTAGATTAAATTTCAAGCTGTGTGTCTTTGCCAAGTGCTCAGCTCTCAAGTGCTGGCAGGATCCAGCAGCTGGAGAAGTTGTAGGTAACTAGAAGCCCAAGAGGCAGGCCAGGTTGGAGTTCATTGCTAACAGGATGCTGAAGAACCAGATACAGCAGCGGAAGGGATGAGGAAGGCAGGCAGGGAGTGGTCTGGATCTCAAGAGAGGCATCCTAATGACTTCCCTCAGCTACAAGTTGACCCAGGCTGAAGAGAATAGCGAGCCTTCTAATTCCTGGACACAGCAAGGATTCAATTGTTGAATTAGCCAGGCAAGAGACGCAAGAGCCCTTAGGTATGGGTCATTAAGGTAACAAGGAAGTAACTCTGCTCCAGAGGGCAAGTAGGTAGATTCCCCTCCCTCACCTGGCTGGTAGCTAGAAGGACAAAAGCCAGAAGCTAGAAGCAGGCTGCAGGCTGGGCAGCTGAGAGACAGAGCCATGCCTGAATTCTGCTGGAAGCTAAGGCTGTGGCTGGTGGGATGTGGGTGGCACTGTGGGTTAAACCACAGAGCCTAGGACTTGCCGATCAGAAGGTTGGCAGTTCGAATCCCTGCGACGGGGTGAGCTCCCGTTGCTCGGTCCCTGCTCCTGCCAACCTAGCAGTTCGAAAACACGTCAAAGTGCAAGTAGATAAATAGGCGCCGCTCCGGCGGGAAGGTAAACGGCGTTTCCGTGCGCTGCTCTGGTTCGCCAGAAGCAGCTTAGTCCTGCTGGCCACATGACCTGGAAGCTGTACGCTGGCTCCCTCAGCCAATAAAGCAAGATGAGCGCACAACCCCAGAGTCAGTCATGACTGGACCTAATGGTCAGGGGTCCCTTTACCTTTACCTTAAGGCTGTGGCTATGGGAGAAGCGACCTTCTTGGTGTGTTAATGCCTCCATTGCAGGTTCAGGTTGTATATATGTGTAAAGAAGCCATATATCATAAAGACACCACAGTCTCCTTCATTCCGAGGAATGCAAGCCCTGGGTAAATGTCTAGAACCCTTGGAATCTCGCATTGCTTGGAGATTGGGGCAAAATGCAGCAATATGTATTTTCCACCTGGGATTTTTCAGTGAATGATCTGGTTATGAATGGAAACAAACAAATACAGGTGAATGACCCTGGATCATAATGTCTGGATGGCATTATTAGGTCCTGTAACAATGCTTCCAGAGCGGCGTTGTAATTTCTAAAAGCAAACAAACAACATGGATGCTTCCATTCAAGCTCCCCACTCTGCCTCAATTCATCGTGGTTTAGACTTAGGGCTTGTTAACATTTCCATTTGTCCCATGCCTGGAAAGTATCGGTCTGAGCGGTTTCCCATGCTTTCTAGGCTCGAGTCTGAATGATTTTGCATTTGCTCCTCCATTTTTCCATGGAAAACCCACTATTTGGCATTAAATCAGAGCAAATGCTACTCTGGAGAAAACCCGATTGAGGTTTGCACCAATTCAGTGGTAAACAGTGGGTTTCCCTCAGGGGGGAAGCAGTGGGTCAAATGGAATTGTGATGAGCTCATATTATGAGATTCCCGCTTCCACCCTTCAGTGAAGCACCGAGGAGATTATTTTGACTGGAATTCGACAGGTCCAGATGGTACTTCAATGCTCAGCACCTGCTACACCTCCTTTAGGTCTTGTTATCTCTGAAACAGATTTATACCAGATATATATAATGCCGTTTAGCAGTTTGTTTGGGGGAGGAGCAGCAGAGGAAGAAATTCCCTGTGTAGCTTTGTACATGTGTTCGCACAGCAAGGAATGTTTGCAGACCATAAAGCTGTTGCAAAACCCATGGCAATTGGGTTGTCTGCTTTTCTGTTTAGAACAGAAGAGCTAAGATGCAGCTCAAGCGTGTACCATAAGCATATCATCAGTTCTTTCCTCTTAGATAATAATTTTGAAGGCATTTTAGGCAGCAATCCTGTTTATTTCATTGATATTCTGCTTCCTATTTTAGCAGAAACCTCTAAGTGGTTTATATACGCCCAACAAAAAGGGGATCAACATAAGAAATACAATACGAATTCCACATTTACTTACTTATTTTCCACACCTGGGAACATGCAATGGCTTCTGTGTTCTTTTGCAGTTTGCAAAGGGCTTTCAGACAACCCCCACGCTCCTGCATGAACCTCTGTAGCCCCAAACAGGAGAGCTTTCTGAAAGCCCTTTGCAGAAGTGCTCCTTGAAGCAACACCCAGATGTTCTGCCACTGAAATTTGCATTTTATGGACAGACCCCAGTAAAATAGAAAAAGTAACATCATTGTTAATGGAGAACAACATGGTATAAAAATTCAAATATGTGTGGATATGGACTTCTCCATTCTAACTGAAATGGAGAAAAAGTGGAGAAACTGAGAAAATGGAGAAAAAGCTCAATGCTCAAATGTGAACAAGTCCCTAAAAGCCATCAAAGAAGAGGCAAGTATGTTCCTTGGGGAATGGGAAGGAGCAACTGATATAAAGGTCTTGCCAGCAGTGGCTACACTGAAGCTGGCCAAAGGCACTCCTGGATAGAGCAAAGGAACCACTTATTCACACAGTTCAAACTAGTTTAAACTATTTACTCTCACAAGATGTAGTGATGGCCATCAACCTGAATAGCTGAAAAAGACGCTTATGCAAATTCCTGGAGAGGCCATGTTCTCACTCAACAGTTAGAGGCAGTATGCTTCTGAGTTGCTGCAAATCGCAAGTCAGTGTGGTGTAGTGGTTAAGAGCAGTAGACTCGTAATCTGGGGAACCGGGTTCGCGTCCCCGCTCCTCCACATGCAGCTGCTGGGTGACCTTGGGCTAGTCACACTTCTTTGAAGTCTCTCAGCCCCACTCACCTCACAGAGTGTTTGTTGTGGGGGAGGAAGGGAAAGGATAATGTTAGTCGCTTTGAGATTCCTTTGGGTAGTGATAAAGCAGGATATCAAATCCAAACTCTTCTTCTTCTTCTTCTACTGTTACAAGCAGGGATTGTCTATGGGCTTCCCATAGGTTGACTACCATGACAACAAAATGTTGGACTAAATGGGCCTTAGGTCAGATCCTCTTCTTATGACCTCACCTGCCACTTTGCCATTGCTGGGCCCCAAAGTTCCCCCAGGTGACCCCCCCCAAATAAAGAATCTGTGGCCCTCCAGAAGTTCTTGGATTCCCAACCCCAGCCCTACCATGAGGCAGAGTGAAGTGACTGATTCAGGTAGCTGATTCTGGATGTTTCAAAAGGGCAGTAAAGAGTTGATTTATTATTGTATTTTTACCACTAGGAAGAGGTGCTTGTGGGATTTTATTCCTCAGGAAATAACATGGCCGTGGCAAAAATAACTCTGTGTCTCCATCTGGTGCCTGGGGGGGAGGCATTTGTTGCTTGGCTTAGGCTGCAAAATGTCCTGAGCCTGCCCTGACAACATCCGTCATCCTTGAACAGTGGCCATGTTGTTTGGGTCTGATGGGTCTTGTGTTCCATCCCACGTGCTGGGACACATACCTCCAGTGATATCAAAGGCAACACGATGACCAAGTACAACAATGCGATGTCAATATAAGCTCTGTATATAATCTATACAGAACATTGAACAGTATGAAATATATGAAATATGCACTCTCTGCAAAACCAGATAAACAGAAATCTTATAAATCTCTGGAAGTCACAAATTATGCACTCTGGATGGATTCTCTTGAAAACATATAAGTCATTGAAAATCTTTGTAGAAGGAGCGTCTCCACCCCCATCGTTCTACCCGGACACTGAGGTCCAGCACCGAGGGCCTTCTGGCGGTTCCCTCACTGCGAGAAGCCAAGTTACAGGGAACCAGGCAGAGGGCCTTCTCGGTAGTGGCGCCTTCCCTGTGGAACACCCTCCCACCAGATGTCAAAGAGAACAACAACTACCAGGCTTTTAGAAGACATCTAAAGGCAGCCCTGTTTAGGGAAGCTTTTAATGTTTGATGTATTATAGTATTTTAATATTCTTTGGGAAGCCGCCCAGAGTGGCTGGGGAAGCCCAGCCAGATGGGCGGGGTATAAATAATAAATTATTATTATTATTATTATTATTATTATAGAATATGCAAGTCTCTGAAAGAAGCAATGGATCAGATTCTTATCTGGTGAAAACAAGCTGAAAAGCTTTGTTTTATGACGTCCAATGCTGCCGAAGTGGTCTGCAAACAGATGTAGTGAACAGTGATTCTGGATATACCCACTGTTTCGTGGCATTCTTCTTCAGCACAGCAGAAGGATACAGAAATGCTTCATAAACCCATCTATATGGTGAATGGAATTGTACAACAACAGTTGCTATGGAGCAGTGGTCATAAAGTAATTGTTTGCAACACAGGGGTTTAATTGTTTGGGACACATACCTTAACAGATAGGACTGATTATTTCCAGGACCAATATTTCCCTTGCTAGCCAGCCTGGCGGGTTCCCCACCACCACTATCATAATCCCGACCTTATCTGGATTAATCTTAATTCCCCGCCCCTCATCCATGATATGGTACATTGCATTTGTACTATATAATGCTGCTTGTGAGACGTGCTTCTGACACATCAGCCGAAATGCAATAAAGACCCAAAGGAACAGACTGTCTACAGTTCATTTGGATGATTCCCGTGCACATGAAAAGCATCGCCAGCACTGACCAGGCTGAAACAAATGTACATTCCTAACTAGAGGCGGGGGGGGGGGGGAGAAAATGAGCACCAAGAGGTTAGCAGAGCACAATATGCTTCCAGGGCATCTGTTCCAGTTTCATCATGCATTGTCTGTGACCTCCCTTATCCAGCTAATCCAAACATCTAATTGCTTGAGATAGCAGAAGAGAGTTTAAATAAATGCGTGTAGGCTATTACAGAAAAATAGGCATTGCCTTGATTTTTTTTTTTTAATCTTCCATATCTAAGTTTCTCTCTACCTGAAAATATATTCTATTTCAACAGGGATAGTAAAAATTGTGCCTGAGGGCCCATGGCATGCAGTCTGTGGTAAGTTAGCTCACATATAGGAACATAGGAAGCTGCCCTATCTGTCTGCCTGCCTGCCTGCCTGTCATCAGTCTTATAAATCTCCCTTCACTGATAAGGCCCCAGGTGGATCACAAAATGAAATATAAAAACAAGACAATAAAAATATAAGTCAAATATTTTTGAAAATAAGTCTGCAGTAACTTATCTCACATGTAGGAACATATAAAGCTGCCCTATCTATCTGTCTGTCTGTTTATCTGTCATCAGTCTTATAGATTTCCCTTTGCTGATAAGGCCCCAGGTGGCTTACAACAAGAAAATATGAAAACAAGACAATAAAATACAAGTCAAAGATGTTTTTATTAAAAAACCCATAACTCTAAGAACAGCAAAAGAAAGACAGCATTGACTAATTCATCAATTCCTTTCAAATCTAAGAGATCAACTAACAAGTCTTGATCTCACCCCTCCTTATCAGACCCTGCCTCCATGTCACACCCCAAACTGTTTTTAAAAAGTCCCTTCCGTTTCAAAAGCATCTTGCTAGGCAGCATATAATACTGTTTTTGGGGAAACACAAGCCCAAAGCCTCTTTTGGCTCATGGAATTGTTTGCATGGTTCCTTGGGTCCTGGACAGAATAGAGTATATTTAAGAATCCTAGCACTGAAATGTGCTCAATGTAAGATGCTATTTTAGTCCTGATATCCTGATGTCATACTATTTTTTTTAAAACCACATAAGTTATAAGTATTGGGTGGATAGTGTCATTATACGGTTTGATCACTAGATGGCACTAGACTTAGTTGTATCTGTTGGTTGGCAAGGAAAAATTGGCACATAAAAGGAGAATTTCCTGGATGCCAAGATCCAGGTTTGGGGCAAGTACTTTCTGGTTGAGAGAATCCCAGCAGAGATTTAAAATCACATAAAACAAAGAAAAGTGTGGAAATGTAGGCTGTTAGACCTTTAAAATATGCCTTTCTTAGTTCCTTCCATAATTTCCCACAGACAGAAACCCCACACGTTCGGTAAGTTAAACATTGGTTTACTTACAAACTCTTCAAAGGTCAGGATCATGTGCTTTTCCATATAGTAAGACTTACATAGCTTAAAGAAACCCTGACAGATAGCCATCCAACCTCTTTTTACAAACCTCAAATGAAAGTCCACTCCATTATGAAGTAGTTCCCTCCACTGTTGAACAGCTCTTACCACCAGAAAGTTCTTCCTAATGTTTAATTGGACTCTCATTCCTCGTAATTTGAATCCATTCGTTCAGGTCCTACCCTATGGAGTGGCAGAAAACAATCTTGCTCCTCTCTCGATTCTAACAACCAGGAGGCCTCTCCAGGTGAGAAAGCAGAGGACCCAGAAGCACAAAAGGAAAGGCCTGAAAGACATGTCCCCAGAAACATTGCCAGTAGGACCAGCCATGGGATCAAAGGAAAAACAGTAGCCTCTTAGAAAGTGAATGCACAAGATGGCAAGTTCTCAAAAATCAGGGCCAAACCAGACATTAGGTAAAATGTGTAACTGCCTATTGTAGCAAGGTTGGGACCCCCGTAGCATGCAGGGAGGGAGCTAATCTTTCTCCCTTGCACCATAGCCCTGATGGAAGTTGCCTATTCCAAGCTGTGCATCGCCCTTCCCAGTGGCAACATAATAATCCTTTTCGAAAGGAGAAGTGATTTCAAGTATTTCCTTCTTTTATGCAGTTTCAGCAACTATTAAAATCCTCTTTTGAAATGGGCAAGATTGTGAAAGAGTTTTGCTTTTTGGCAGACTTTGGGCGGGGGGAGGGGAGGGGAATCCACAATAAATTATTATATACACCCTTTTCAGGGTTCAAAGAGCTTGGCTAGGACATAGGTATTCTTTTCCAGCTCAGGATCTTTCCTCTTCAGCTTAAAGCGCTTATTACAACGCGCCCCCCTCCCCATTTATTTAAAAATAGATTAATGGTACCTCTTGGTGTTTTTTCTCCAGAGGCCAACTTTTTCCGTGCCTTGCGTGAATCATTAAAAGTGCTAGTCTAGCTGTCCTAGCAGCGAGATTAAAGATAAAAAATCATTCGGCTTTGACATAAGCCAGCTGCCACATTTTAACTAAAGGTCCATTTGATATAGTTTATGTACATAACTATGCTGATAAAGGTACAGAACGTTATAGATGAAAGGCAGAAAACCAGTTCTGGGCTTGCTTTGAAAAATACCTTGTGTTTTGTTGCGATAGGAAAAGCAGCCAAGATGTATCTAGGTTTGAGGGGGTTCTTGGCCAAGTGCCTTCTTCCATCGATGGGCTTACCTGACAGTGGCCACAGCACTCCAAGGGTGGCTGGGAGTTGCCACTGAAATTTCCCACAATGCCCTGGAGTGGCCAATGTTAAGTCACACCAGCACCATCATACATTTAAAACACATGGCTCCCCCCAAAGAATCCTGGGGACTGTAATTTGTTAAGGGTGTTGGGAACTGCACCTCTGTGAGGGGCAAACTACATTACCCAGAATTCTCCAGGGGCAGCCATATGCTTTAAATGTTTGGTGTGGATGTGACCATAATGTCACTGCAGGACAATTAAAATGGCGCCTCATGGAATATGGCAGGTCTAAGCATTGTTGGGCTCTTCTGAGAGACAGCTTCCAGGGATACTGATTGCTCTTGTGTTGGTATTGTAGAAGCATACAGCGCTTTAATTGCACGCCTACATTATAAATAATGTAGTATTGGGCAGAAGGAGATCTTTCCCACCACAAAAGAACAAAAATGAAACTGGAAATACCGGGGATTGAAGGTGGAGCTGTGTTCCTACAAAGCACATGCTCTAGTACCAGCATACGACCTCTTCCCTTAGATCTTTTGAAAGGACTGGTGTTCTCTAAAAGACCATTCTCAGAATCCTCTCAAAAGTCGGGAAACCATTACTCTTTGAACCAGGCCCAATTTTTCAGTAAATGCACCTTCTTCCATCCTTGTGTGTTTCCCCATAAAACGAGTTAGCTAGTCCACTGTTGCTGACATTTTTCAACAGTTTTCAGAGAACTCTTAGTGAAAGGTCAGAGGCTATTGACTACATAAATCTACAGAGAGAAAAGGGTGATTCCCAACCAATGGAACAAGGCTCAGGACCATGGTGGGCTCAAAAGCTTAAAGCCCCCTTCCTTCCTGCTGTGGTCCCAATCCAGCTTGTCTGGCTATTTATTTGGTTTTTTTTAAAAAATAATTCTAAAGACACGGATAACACCACATCTAATCTAGTTCAGTTGTAGGTGATAGAGGGACAATGCTTTTTCTGGGGGTACTCAAGTATCAGCACTATCCCCCCTGCAAAAAAATGTTAAAAGCGTGAGTCCACAGAGGTAACTCCCATTGATTTCAGTGGGGCTTACTTCCAAGTAAGTGTGGACAGGATTCAGTCTAAAACAAAGCTTGGCTGGGTAAAACGGAAGCAGTCCAGGAAGGGGAATGAACGGGTGATGAGTTGCTTCCACAGTATCCCGGTGAGTCCGCTTTGAAGTGTTTTGGTGCCTTGTCGGATAATGCCTGTCATCTAGGAGTTGCTAGTTTTAAGGGTCAGTTTTCTGCTCTGCAAAACTCATTCACCATGTGCTAGGCATGTAGCCAGATGAGGGTAAAAATATACACTTCCTTGGAATGACGCTTCCTGTCACACATAATTCCATGGATATAAGGTTTGATATGTGAAATCTGATGCATGTGTACGACAAACTGAAGCTCATGGGTTTTCCAGCAGGGAATGTTGCACAACGCTTGCCAAGTCCCCTTTGCTTAGTTACTGGCCAATTTTCTTTCCACCGGGTCTCTCTCAGCCTGTCATTTTTGTTTCATCCGCCAAATCTCCATTCATGTTTCTTGGCTTCACCTTGTACACAGGCCTATTCTTGCCGAATTTTTTCCTCTTTGAACAAATTTCTGACACCTGACACTTGTTCCAGAACGGCCCCAACTGACAATGTAAAACTCTCTGCATTACATTTAGCAGCTCATAAAAGTATCCCACTCAGTTCTAAAGTGCTGTACGTTACGAACGTAGCACTTTTGGAATACATGTAAGACTGAGCATGTGTGTCTCAAAGGCAATGTGACAAAAGATGTGGGTGCTAAGTATTTGGCTGGTGTTTTGATGGGCCCATGTGAGAACTTTAGATTTAGCTTTGAAAAACCATGGTTTTTTGGGTTTTTTTGGCAGCGACTTGTTTCTTGTGAGTACAAGTATAATGTGCTCACATGCAGATAATTCTGGTGTTGTAAATGCAATTGAGCCCGAACACAAAGGCATAAAACAATGTAAATGAACATTCGCTTCACTTTCGGCTCTTTGGCCTTAACGCAAAACCCTCTGAAGTTAGTGGGAAAAGCTGTTGCTGACCTCTGAGGTCTTTTGATCAGCCTGCACAGTATCAGCATATTCCTCTCTAGAGGGTCTTCCCTTTCTGGCCCAATGCACACATGAAAAGAAGGCAAAGAAAATAAATTGGTTAGAGCAGCAAACCTCAAAGTTGCTCTATAGGACTATTGACCACTATTGCAACTGAGTGCGCACTACTGGAAAAACAAACTGTGAGGGGCTCATTCTCTAGAAATTGCAGCTATATATGTGAATAATACTGTTATGTGCTACCCCAGGCTCTAAGCGGGGATCCAAGTGCTTTTCCAGAGTTTGGTTTCATTATAATGAAGGTCAATAGAGATATTGACCACATATCTTCAGGATATATGATTTTATTTATACTTATGTACAACCTGAGCATAGGATGGAGGGTATCATAGTGTTAGCACCTCAACAGATCTTGCTTCCACTTTGGTTTCCAGAGAAGTTCCAAAGTCCTGCTTAGATTCAGTACAGAGCAAGACATATTCCTCCATCTGCAGCTTCTGGGATTCAGCTTTCCCCTTCCCTACACAACTCTGCCTACTATTCTCCTATGTCAAGTGAAGTGGGGTGGGAGCAGTGACGGACCTTGGACTCAATGACGCCCTGTGCGACACTAAAATTTGCCCCCTTGCCCCTCATGCTCCATTCTATATCATTGTTTTGTTGCCCCCTGGAGCATGGTGCCCAGTGTGCCTGCACCCATTGTGCCCTGCAATGCCCGATGGGAAGACTGCATGAAGATCACAACTCAAGAGGGAAGAGTTCCCTGCTGAGGTCTCAATGAAAACTGTCACTGACTTCCATGGGCCTTATTACCAAGAAAGTTGCTTAGGAGTGCAGTCTGTTTGCTTGGCCAGGATTTTCTAGTCAGACTAAACTATAGGAAGCAGGTCAGCAAATGCATTTTTGCAGGTGATGGATGAGATATAATTTATGAAGCACAGCAATTGGTGCCAGGGTAATTTGCTGGAAGCGAGCCAAGGAAAGACTATTTGCTTCATGACCTGATTCTGTATCAGCTATAAATATGAGAAATGCCTTGGCGCAGTATAAATCCTAGGGATATGTCTATGGAATGCAGATATTTAATCAACCGCATCACTCATTGAATGCCGCAGCTGCATTGTGTAAGCAGAGCTGAGAGAACATATTGTCTTGCACTAAATCCTCAGTTGTATACCAAACTGGTGTGCCAGCCATCAACCTAATTTATTTCTGCAAAATTGGAGGAGGAAGAAGAATCCACATCTCTATTATCCAATCACAAAAAGGGAATCCAGAGCATTTTGCTTTGTATTGGTTGGTTGATGGATTTCTAAACAATTGGGAGAGTCCACCAGACGTTCTAATGGTTATGACTCAACATTTGTCATTGTCAGCGATAGTGCCTTATAGCAGAGTGCTTTGTGCCAACATCTCAACCTGCTTTGCAACAGTACTGCAGCAAAGGGATTGGGTAATACACTCAATGCATTCAGTGCATAGCCAGTTACTGTTTAAAACTTTCTGCTCAGGAGTGAGCTAAGTCCACAGACAAACTGAGACAAGTAAAGCACCACAGCATATCGCTACATCCTTTGCATGCAGGTGGTCTCAACTTCAACCTCTGGCACTCCCAGTTAAAAGGTTCAAGCAGCTGGTGAGATGAAAAGAACCTCTGCCTGAGATCCTACAGAGCTTCTGCCAGTCAGAGCAAACAATATTGCACTTGATGGGCAAATAGTCTGGACTAGTATAAGGCAGCTAATGTTCATAACATTTGTTTATTTGATTGCACCAGTCTAAATGTTAGCTTGGATCTTCCAGGTAGTTCTCTATAACAAATAAATAGGTAAAGGTAAAGGGACCCCTGACCATTAGGTCCAGTCGTGACCGACTCTGGGGTTGCAGCGCTCATCTCGCTTTATTGGCCGAGGGAGCCGGCGTACAGCTTCCGGGTCATGTGGCCAGCATGACTAAGCCGCTTCTGGCAAACCGGAGCAGCGCACGGAAACACCGTTTACCTTCCCGCCAGAGCGGTACCTATTTATCTACTTGCACTTTGACGTGTTTTCAAACTGCTAGGTTGGAAGGAGCAGGGACCGAGCAACGGGAGCTCACTCTGTCGCAGGGATTTGAACCGCCGACCTTCTGATCAGCGAGTCCTAGGCTCTGTGGTTTAACCCACAGCGCCACCCGCGTCCCAGCTAAGCACTGGTGAGACTCTGATGATTCTTTGTTGTTCCTACAATATTCATAGAAAAAGATCTTGATTCCATTTGGCAGATGTCTAGACACATGCATGCTGTTTAATGGTGATTCTGGATGGAGTTGTTTTGCTACGAAAGGTTCCAACAAAATCCTGTGAGGATGCAGCCGGTTTTTTAATTATTATGATGAAAATTGGCTTGTCATGATCACTTTTTATCATTTGCACCTCTGTGGTTGACTGGACGGACTGTAAGTGCAGCTGGTGTGCTCTTGTTCAAAATGGTGAAAAGGAGATAGCTAAGCACAGCTGAACACACTTGCTTTCAACGAACAGGTCTTCTTCGCTTCCAATTTCTCAACTGCCAGGCCTATTAAAGAAATCCCTGGCCCCGACTTAAATCTGGATCTGCTTAATCTTTCTCTTTTTATTATTAGATGTTTCTAAGAAGGATCGGAAATTCATTCTTAAAATGATTGCATTGGCAAGAGTTCTTAGTGGTAGGGCGCTGGAAATCTATCACAAGAGGAATGGCAGCTTTGATGGCTAATTTAACAACATCCTATAAAAAGGGCAGAGAGGGGAGAGGCAGGAAACTGTTAGCTTTCAAAGAAAATAGCTTTGCTTTATCAATGACATGACAAGAATTATGGTTAATATAACACTAGGTTTGCAATAATACCCCTCCCCTCTCTCTCGTAATTTATGTGCATTCAGATGGAGACCCACAAAATTTCATGGAAATGACTTATTTGCACACACATATACATTCACAACACATTCTTGATCCTTCCTCCATACCTTCCTCCCTTTCATACGCATACCAGTTACCCTTTGAATGAGCAACTTCATTTACTGAGTCTCCTCTTCTAGTTACGTCCGATTCTTTCATCAGCTGCTGTCTGTTGAAATGGCTGAATAACTCCCTTCCAAGGAGAAAGCACCACCACTATCACTGCTGCCTGTTAACCCTTGCAAACAGGGTGAGGCTTTTACTTGCCTTAGTAAACATGGTAACTGCCACCCTCCTTGTGAGGGACCATTCTGTGAAATGGGCATCCTCCTGCAGTCTGAAGTAGTCCTGCTCAGACACAGGTAACTAGTGAGAAGTAGACCAGAGAAAGCAATACCTCTTACCACTGAGACCGGGAACCTGTGGTCCTCCAGACGCTGCAGGACTAGATTTTTCATCTTCTCTGATTGCTGGCTGTCAGCGACTGGCAGGACACTGATGAGTGTGCACCGGGGGAAGCTGGAGTCTGGCTCGAGAGAGAGGGAGTCAGTGATTTGTGGGGAACTGTACCAGCCAGAAGACAAGAACTGGAGGCAATGGGAGCTTCGGAGCTGGAAGGTGGAGCACAAGATGGGTTGGAAGAAGATGAGGAAGAGGCAGGACAGGCAAGTGATGGACCAGGTGCTTCTCTGCTCTCTCCTGTACCATTGTCTTCCAGAACTAGGAGGAGATTGAAAGGGGATGAGCAGAGAAAGTTGCCATGTAGGCATAGTCTCCGGCTGCATCTTGGGAAGGGACATAAACTGGGAGATGGGGTGGGTTGAGTGGTCCTCTGTTGCTGCAACTGCTCCATAGAGCATGGACCACTAAATTGGTCTGTGTAGATATCCAGAGCCGTAGAAGTGACTGTAAGTGCTATCTTTGACAAGAAAGCACATTGGCTATGCTGATGGGAGCTGGATTCTAGCATCATCCAGAGGGCTGCAGTTTCCTCAGCCCTTCTTACTGAAAGGGCAAGAACTATAGAAAGCCGCTTCCTCGTGTCATCCAAAATAAAAGCTGTCTTGTAACATATAATTAGAACCTTATGGGGATTCATTAAAATGCATTATGGGATGCAGGGGGAGGGAAGTGCCTGGCATTCAAGATGTCAGAATTTGCTAACAGCCCTTTGCGGGAACATGCAAATTACAAGCTGCCTGCCACTTCTTCCAATTAGAAGTAGTAATAGTAAAACTTGGTTCCTAAAATAGCAGCTATCACGCACCAACTCTAGTGAAAAGTCTCCCATAATAAAAGGGTGTAAAAAGTCTGCATTCTAATAATTCCAGTCTGTAGGAAAGCTACATTCCATTCAATCAGATCCGCTGAGTATCACTGCAAAATTTATGGCCCTTAATTTTCTTTCCTAAAATAAACTGTGTTTATTTTTTAAAAGAAGGAATTCGCAAGGCAAAAGAAAAAGGAGGGTTGTTAAAAATTTATCCCAAATTTCCCTCGTTTTGTATCATCTTCCCTACTCAGAAAGCTCCCAAATGTGACCCCTCAAAGTGGTTTCATCTGTGCCCAGTTCGTGCTTTCCATGTGCTTTCTAATGTTCCCTGAGTTATCTTTTAAGGGTTATTTATACAATCTCAGAGGCAATGTTTATTCAAGAATGATGAACATAATGACACTCTAGCCTGGGAACGGCAAAAATAGAAGTGGAGTGCTCTCCCCATGAAATACCCTGAGAAGAAAGAAAGAAAGAAAAAACACCCTTTGATTGGTTTTTTATTTATTTCAGTCTAAAAATAACGTATTGTTTTCAGACCTCTGCAAAAACTATTCAGACACCAATTCACTACACAAAGAAGAAAAGACTCTGTTCCAAATTAAACTGAAGAACTTCCCCAAAGTGTTGTGGCTAATTAGGCGTATCTACATGACCATATAGCATTGGCTTGACTATGCACTGTCACTTTTCCACTGCGGTATAATTAAGTTAGTACACCACTTCAGGGCTATCCATCAGTCTCCAAGCACAGACCATCCAAGTGGGTCCACCACTTACGGGGGGGATTGCTATTGGCAGTCCAACCTTATTTCCCAGTCCAACCATGGCAAGGGAATGCATTGCACTCCCACAGCCCTCATATTGCTTGGGGAAAAGACTGCATCAAGCGTGTTCCCGGTCTGAAGTGTTGGAATGGGGACTATTTGGAAGAGAGCCATGGTTGCTACGGAGGCCATGAAGCTTCAAGCTGGCCCAGCAGTAGCCCCTGTGTGGATATTGAAGTCACCTGGCCATGGCTACCATCCTGGGGTCCTCCAACCATACTTCTGTGACCCCTCCCCTCAGTCATCTCGATCAGGAATCAATGAACTAGCAGCATCCTCAGTCTGTCTCTTTGGCCCAACACCATGCATATACACATGCCAGTGTGGTGTAGTGGTTAAGAGCAGTAGTCTCGTAATCTGGAGAACCGGGTTCACGTCGCCGCTCCTCCACATGCAGCTGCTGGGTGACCTTGGGCCAGTCACACTTCCTTGAAGTCTCTCAGCCCCACTCACCTCACAGAGTGTTTGTTGTGGGGAAGGAAGGGAAAGGAGAATGTTAGCCGCTTTGAGACTCCTTAAAGGGAGTGAAAGGCGGGATATCAAATCCAAACTCTTCTTCTTCTTCTTTAAGCCTGTCCCAAAATTAAGAGGTTTTCTGGTCAAGGAGATAGTGCTTTCCATGGACAATAGCAACACCTCCCTCTTATGTCCTTATGTGTTTCCAGAGATGCTGTGGGTGTGCCTGTCTCCTCCTCCTCCTCCTCTTCTCCTCCTCCTCCTTCATTTTCTGGTGTGTTTTCCTCCTCCTGAGCTGAGCATGTATAGGTCACAGCGGCCATCCCACCAGCATAGTATCAGTGTATCTCCACCCCCAGCATAACTAGGGTATGGGATTGCTCTGCCTGAAATGTCAGATTTGTCCATCCAAACCACTGTTAGAGAAACTGTGCTTCTCTCGCTGGACAAAGACCTTTGAACAGGCTGAGATGTGTTTATGCTGCGTCCTATCAAAGAGCCTTTCATCTCCACAAAGCAAATTATTAACACATTCCACTGAAGATGTGGGTATGGAAGCCTGCCTTGGAAATAATAATAATAAAAAATGAAGCTGGCTCTCCGAATGAACTTAAAAAAGAGGATAAAGCATGCATGCTTAAAAAAAAGATAGCAAGTGGCTTCTAGCCAAGACCCTTATGCCCTGCGCAGCACTGCCAGCTGATTGTTTGTCTGGAAAAGTCCCGTGGGCTGAAGCTTTTGTGCCGAGGAATTTCCAATTTGAAAGCCACTGGTGTGGGAGGTGTAGGCCTTTCCCAGGTTCAGAGAGTTAAGGCGTTCTTTGGCAGCCAGTTGCCTTAACCCTGCACCAGAGACTCTCTCGCCCTTGGATGAATGAACAAGAGCATTTGTTCCGCGTAGTAAATCTCTACCTTTCGAAATGAGGGTGATGGTGGGAGAAGCAAAAGATATGAAGAGCGGCTAATAAATTACTCTGCATTCTTTGGGCACACGCACACACCCTCACATGTTCCCCACTGCATGGGGGTAGGGCATGGGGTGGAGAGTGGGGACACCCTCACCAGCTCTTCCTCCTTCATCACATTTCTGAAGGCCCAGCCCCCCCTTCCATGCGTTGGGACTGAAGATCTGCAGCAGATTTTCTGCAGGTTCCCCGCATGTTTCTGAATCAGTTTGGTCCCAAAGCCTGGAGTGTGCTTCATAGCTGAGCAAAGGAAGATGAACCTGGGTCTTCCCAGTCTGAGCCTAGCCATTTTGAAGCCCAGTCCATTGCATGGGAAGGGTTTGTTTTTACTTCTTTGCCTTGATGATATGCAGACCTAGACTGTTCACGGGAGCGGGTTACTGCCACCCTGTGAGTCCTTCGCTGAGAAAGCAGCATTGCTTGCAGATTTGCTGTCAGACCAGGTCCAAGCAACTTGTGCTAATTCACAAAACCCTAAACAGCTGGAGCACAACGTACCTTAAGGACCACCTGGTTAATGTAGCTGCACCTAAACCACTGTGATCTTCTGATAGGGCACTTTTGGTGGTCCCCTCAGCCCTGAGTTTTGGCTGACCTTTGCAAGGTGCTGAGCCTTTTGTTTGGCAGGCTGTGCCCTGTGGAACTCCTTGCCAACAGACGTTCAGCAGGAGTCATTCCAGTTTTCTTTCAATTGTCTTCAAAAACCTGTATTGTGCAGACAGGCCATTAGAACATGATAATTTTTTTTAACCAACCGTTGTTTTTTTAATCTGCTGTTGATGGTTTTATTGATGTTATTGTGGTATTCTGCTTTTATGTTGCATACCAGCTTGTTATATTTTCTAGAAAGTGTGGTTTATGAATATTCAATTAAAATAATAATAATAATAATAATAATAATAATACATAAAACAAGCTGGTACACTGTTGAAGAGTAATGAATAAGCCAACTGCAAGTGGCACTGATGATTGAGGGCAGAAAGGGTATTTCCCACAAATGGTTGCTGTGGTTCTTCTACTTCTTAGCAATGCTACAACAAGTTAGCTACTACAGTCACTTGGAGTCTTTGGCTATGTGTAGGCTCTACTTAGGGTTCAAACCAGAACCACACAAGATAATTGTTATAAAACCAGAGATAACCAGAATTCTCATGAGTTTCAATTTTAGTTTTTGAATTTGCATGTTTGAAGAGACTGAACGGTTAATCAAACAGCAAAGCAAATTGCAGGAAAATCAAAAGCATTTCCTGCCTTTTATCAATGTCTTAAATGCTAATCACAACTGAGGCATGGCAACACAAAAGCCCTCCAAGGCTGATTTTCCAGATTCCAGGAAATTGTGTAGACCCTGAGTTAGTCCACAAGGAACATTGTAAGTCCTGGCAGAAAGGCTTCTTGTGCAATTCTGAGCTCGCCTGCCCAAGCTCAGGGAAACTCCACAATGGAGTGAGTTAAAGCTTAGGCAGAGCCTTTGTAAGCAGACAGCAGTCCACAGGAAAAGCTGGGACTGGGTCTAGGCTGGAGATGCTACCAGTCATAGGGACAGAGGACTTTCAGGGTGTGTAAAGTGATTTTGCCTTTGTTTTAGTTAAGTCAAGCATGGGAGCATCACAGACCATGATTGGATCTCCCTTGCTTCCCTAAAGTGTGCTCTCTGGGCTAGCTAAGGGACTGCACAATCCCTGGGAGACTTAAAAACGACTGTTTGACACTTCCTTCTACTGCCTATGACTTGCGGGGGTGGGAGAAATAAAATAGAATAAAATCTAGCAATTTCAAGGGGGCAAAGCATACCAAAAAATAGAAGTGTTTTTTGACAGCAGTGAAAACTATGTCAAAAATTCTCTTTTGGCTCATTTCTATATATACGATGTGATGTTATTCTGTGATGCAGGCAGACATACTAACGCAAATGTGTGTTCAGGGCATCAACCCTTTTCTTAGTTTGTTCTGTTTTTCCATTGCCAATATTACAATATTTCCATTTCTCATTAGGTTCAGACAGCATCCATATGCGAGACAAACAAGCACCTCTGTGTCTCTCTTGCACCATTTTTACTCATGCGTGAAAAACGATTAAAGTAAGAAAATATGCCAGAGAAACTGGTCGTGTCCACACTTTCCAACCTTCTCATCAAACTACAGTTCCCAGGGTGTTTCTTTGGTGTGTGAGTGGAAGTCATATACTTTAAATGTGTGGGATGGATGTGATCATTGAATGTTCTTCTGACCCAAGAAAAGTTTTCGCTTGGATTATAGATCACATCTGTACTATATATTTAGAGCACATGACTGGGAATTGTAATTCTGTGAGGGGTAAGCTACAGTTCCTACGATTTTCAGAGATCCCATGACTGTTAAAGTGGTATAAAGGTAAAGGGTAAAGGGACCCCTGACCATTAGGTCCAGTCGTGGCTGACTCTGGGGTTGCGGCGCTCATCTTGCTTTATTGGCCGAGGGAGCCGGCGTACAGCTTCCGGGTCATGTGGCCAGCATGACTAAGCTGCTTCTGGCGAACCAGAGCAGCGCACGGAAACGTCGTTTACCTTCCTGCCGGAGCGGTACCTATTTATCTACTTGCACTTTGACGTGCTTTCGAACTGCTAGGTTGGCAGGAGCAGGGACCAAGCAACGGGAGCTCACGCCGTTGCGGGGATTCACACCACCAACCTTCTGATCGGCAAGCCCTAGGCTCTGTGGTTTAACCCACAGCGCCACCCGCGTCCCTTAAAGTGGTATAAATCTGCTTTAAAAGTATGGTGCGGATGTAATCATAGGCCAATTTACACATAAGCTGATTTAAACCTTACGTGTGAAAAGACACCCACTGTCTGTTGCCACTTGTCTGATCAACAGGTCCCTTTGTTCGGCTGAAGGGTGTGTTTCCTGTGCAACACAGATGTTAGTGGCTGATCTTCCATTTGGCAGGCTTCTCGGCTCCCTTTGCATACTGGTACCTGTAAGACTGTAAATCTTTAGCACTGCTTATTGGGAAACCCATGTCAAAATTACCATTTTGTTGACGCACAGAACTTGGGGGCTTGTTCTCATAAACCACAGCCTCACTGACAGATGTCTTGTTTTGTTAGATTTTCAATCGCTGATAGTCGAGTTTCAGTTAATGAATCACATGCCTGCCTTCTTGCATTTGTACCTTTTTATTACTTCCCCCCGTAAAAAAAAAAAATGTTTACAAGCTGTTCCCATACCCCTGTTGCCATATTCAGCCTAGCTAAACCCCCAGGGCATTTCTCTCACAAGAAGCCACACTGAGCTATCAGATTATGCTGAAGATCGAAGGTTTGCATGCATCCACATCGCCTGAGAAGCTTCCACAATGATTGTGAAAGTTGCCCACTCCCAGGCCCTTAGGGCTTCACTCTGAGGAATCTAGGTGCTTAATTTCATCAGGCATTGCTTTCAAGGAGGACTTTTCATGTCCCTCACAGCTTCTCCTCCTCCTACCATCAGTTGGAAAGACTGATATGGACAATCCAGAGATCAGTTGAGTGGAAAAGAAATCCAGGATTCCCAGCATGTGAATTTTAAGCTGGACCTCTTAGGGCTAAGTGGGTG